AATTAAATTAAAATTGATACTCGTGAATACGTCACGAAATGCCACGTGCCAAAATTGACTGATCATAGAAATTTCATACTACTCCAGTTATGAGTGGTTTTAGTTGCTACAGTTTGAAGCGCGATGACGCCTTCTGGTTTGTTCTGTATTCTGAGCCTTAAAAATTACAGACCAATTTCACTTCTACCCACAGTTTCGAAAGTTTTTGAAAAGATCTTAAAATCTCGGCTATTGACTCATCTTAGTTTTAATAAAGTTCTTCATGACAGACAGTTTGGTTACCAGAAGGGAATTGGCACTGGAGAAGCAATTTATCGACTTGTGGACGATGTGATGAGCAAATTAAATAATAAATTAAAGGTAGCAGGAATTTTTCTAGATTTATCTTCCGCATTTGATACAATTGATCATAATCTACTGATTCCAATTTAAATTATTATGGTGTCAGAGGCAAAGCTTTACAATTATTTACATCGTATTTGAAAAATAGAAAAATGTATGTAGAAAACAGCATTATAGATCAGGAAGGACAAAGGAAAACATACCAATCATCTATGATTAATATTACTACTGGCGTACCGCAGGGTTCCATATTGGGTCCTATACTATTTATTATTTTCACCAACGATATAATAAATTATATTGGAAAAATGATTCCTGGCGTTGGTCTAGTAGTCTATGCTGATGACACAAATGCCATAGTAGAAGCTAAAACTATTAGTGAAATTACAGACATGGTCAATAATATGCTGGCAGTATTTCAATCTTGGTTCGATGCAAATAGATTGATAATAAATATTAAAAAAACAAACATCATGTTGTTTCGGACCACGGCAGGCAATAAAGAAAATATGGATATAAGTCTTAACAATGAAAGATAGAATTAGTGAGAGATGTCAAATTTTTAGGTATCCATTTAGATGATTTACTAAATTGGAAAAAAGAACTAGCCCATATAGACTCCACTATATCTTCTGCATGTTTTGCCTTAAGGACTTTAAGAGATGAAATAAATAAGGACCAGTTAAAGATGGTGTATTATGCTCTTGTTGAATCGAGACTCCGATACAGTTTACAGTTCTGGGGGAAAAGCTATGGGTATAATTTTCAGAGAGCATTTATTCTACAGAAAAGAGCAGTTCGCACAATTGTAAGAATATCACAAAGAGAAAGCTGTCGACCTCACTTTCAATGTTTAGGTATCCTAACATTGCCTAGCCTGTACATATTAGTGCTGTTGGTTAATTTTAAAAAGTATGTCCATGAATTTGAGTCTGAAAACGAGAGAATAGCCAGGGAAAGTACTCGTAGAAAGGACTTCAATAATAAAATTGTACCTAACCTAAATGTTGCCAAGCATAGTCCTCAATACCAAGTAGTAAAATTATTTAATAAACTGCCAGCAGATTTAAAAGGTTCATTGTATACTAGCTCTTTTAAAGCTAAGTTAAAAGAATTTCTGTTGGCGAGAAACTTGTACACATTCGATGAATTATAATTTAATTATTTCCAATTTTAAATATTTGTTAAATGCAATTTTATTTAATTTCTATGTTATTTTTGTATTATTTTAGTGTGTTAATGTTTTATTTTTTCTGTTATTTTTATTACATTGCATGCAAATTTTTATCATATACTGACACCAAATACAATATAAATTGTTCATGATTAAATAAATAAATAAATTCTATGTGTTGCTGTAAGTTTTCCTTAATATTTTGTGTTTATTTTATTATATTTCAATCAACAACTCTGTCAATCTGTCTTTCTCTGCTTCACACCTAAACTACTGAACCGATTTGGATAAAATTTTGTAGTTTCTATCCCAGGAGGAGAACTTACCTATTCCCGTTCCCTACGAGATCGGCTGCTAAAAACTGCCAGAAATCACTATCAAACGCGGACGAAGTCGCTGGCAGAAGCTAGTCCTTAAGAATCCACAAAAGATCGGCAACGAACTTTAACTCCTTTGGTAATTGCGTACCATTAAGTGCGCTGTTTGCTGACCTATCACACAAAACAAAATTGAAAATTGATGCGATATTAAAATAAATCACAAAGGTATCAATTTATGGCATAAACTTCCGCAATCCAAAGTAACGAGAAACTTGATAAAAACAATTTGAAAAATATGTTCGTGTATGTAGCGACATCTATTGTGTCACTGACGATATAATATGGTAACAAATAACTGTCACCGTGGCCAATGATCAATAAGCCAAAGTTCGTCGTTCAAGAACATAATGATAGATGGCGCTGATTTAACAATAAAGAAGTGACAGTCAACAAGAATGTAGCGAGGTTGACTGTCCAGGCGACACACGTACTTAGGTATCGTCATGAGCTAATGTTCACATGTAAACATCAGCTCATGTAGTGTAGATGTCCAGTCAACAAGGATGTAACGAGGTTGACTGTCTAGGCGTCACACGTACTTAGGTATCGTCTTGAGCTAATGTTCGCATGTAAACAGCAGCTCATGTAGTATAGATGTCCAGTCAACAAGGATGTAGCGAGGTTGACTGTCCAGGCGACACACGTACTTAGGTATCATCATGAGCTAATGTTCACATGTAAACAGCAGCTCATGTAGTGTAGATGTCCAGTCAACAAGGATGTAGCGAGGTTGACTGTCCAGGCGACACACGTACTTAGGTATCGTCATGAGCTAATGTTCACATGTAAACAGCAGCTCATGTAGTGTAGATGTCCAGTCAACAAGGATGTAGCGAGATTGACCGTCTGTACGTTTTAATTATTTTTATGACAAAATGCCCTAGAACTATGATTTGTTATTAATAAACATTAAATTCGATGTAAAAATATGGACTTTCTTCCGCTATACATATATGTATATGAAAAGTTTTCGAATAGGGAAGGAAACCACAAATATCGATAAATTACATATATTTTATAACACAGTCCTTTCTCTTGGCCTTGGTCCAGTTCAATTACATTGCAGGCACAGCCTTAATAAGCTCCTGTCAGTTTTGCACATTAGTATGCAAGTAAGAAAACAAAGATTAACTCAATACAGAGCCAGTAGTTATTGTTACACTAAATTATGTGATGTTTAATGAAACCATATCTTCTGTAATTATTGACCGGCTCAGTAGCCAAACAAATTTTTAAAAAACTTCAAAAAAAGGAGCAAGTTATCAATTAATATGTTCATCAATTAATCATTAGGTACTGTTGTTTTTTTTTTTGGAGTGACCGTCATCTATAGTCTTCTCTCGCTAAGGGTATGGCTAGAAGGAGTGTCAGTCTCTTACTGACTAAAAAGGCCCTCGTTCGTTCTCCTGCTCCAGACCTGAGCAGCGGTACCATATTGTGCTTGACCCGCGATCACATTACTGTTACTGTACTATTATGTCTGTACTGTTGTCTCTCTTGAATCTATATTTTTTTCTTACCTTTGAAACAATGACTGTGCCATCTGTTTTACACTAAAAGTTTTGGATAGACCGGTTGTCTGATTTTTAAAAGTTCTCTCAACAACAGAGGTTTCCAGCATTTTTCGGACTTGGACATGAATAATGTTTATGCAAATAATTTTTGTCGATAAAAACTCATTGTGTCGTCCGATAATTGAGTTCCCTGCAATGACGTATTATATATAGACACGTCATGAACCAACATCGCGGCGCTTAAAAACGGCGAAAATACTAGATAACTACTTCTACGAGTAAAGAAAGGGAAAGCAAATATGACATCGTATAGTGGAATGCCTTTGCTAGAGGGAGATAAATATACATCTTCAGTTATGCCGACGGCACGTGACCTTCATGCGCTGGCCGCCATAAGATGGCGGGCGCCGGCGTCGAAAAAAATAAAATAAAAATAGGTTGTTTGGTGAACTTACGCATGAAATGACACATTTTTGTCTTTAACTTTTGGAGTATAATTTGTACATCGTCTGAACACACACGACGATATGCTTTCTTTGTGTTTCGCACAGGTTTACACACGATATAAATTAAAAACAAACGTAGCGTCGCGCGGCAGGTTGGTGCGTGACTAAGCGCGATGTTGTCAAATTGCCTTCATTTCATGTTGCCATTTTAGAGCGCGGACAACGTATCTATAGATTTATACATCATTGGTTCCCTGTATGTTGGTTGGGTAGTGGCTACTCCAACCAGTGACCGCGCAGTCCTTATAAAGGTAAAGTAATTGATGTAATTAATTTCATTACTTTTGTTTGTTTCGCTTTCACTATTTTAAATTGTTAAATCATAATATAATCGAATATTTCACAATTGGGCTATTGGACACTATAAACCACTGGGCCAAAAAGGCATGTTTGTATAATGAATATAACATTACATAATGACGTGATTTCTAAATTAATGAATCTCCAAGTTAAACTTTCTCTTACGAAATAAAAACTGCTTTGACGAAAAAAAGTGCAATGCAATTCATCATTTTTATTGAAGAAGGTACTAAGTATATGTATTTATAGAAAAATATATTTGCCGATATCGATAAAAAAAAAATTGCAATCTCTCCACACACTATTACTCAATGTTTTCACGGAATATGAAAGTAATGAATCGATCACTACAAAAAGTTCTTAGTGCAATTTCCTACAAATCGAAATTACACCTTAAGTGACAGATTATAAGGTTTGTTACTGACTGTGTTAATCACCCCCAAATAGATCTCAAGGGTAAGGGAATCTAAGAAGTGAATGGGAACTCACACATTCGGAATACGACTTTATTGTTCACTCAAATATGGACTCTATAACAAAGGCAGAAAGCAGTATTTAAAATAAAAGTCCTTGAATACTTAACTCAAAAGTTACGAAATGACAATCACATGGGACCCCCTGCAATTACAAAAGACCATAACACACGTGAGTCATTGCAGAAAAATGTACACTTTATTACGTAATGGTAAAGTCGTAATTCGAATGCTAATAATATGTACTTATGACGTTTTTACGATAGTGAAAGTTGAAATTCGTTCCTTGTTCGTATTTTAGTTTGGCGGCAAAACCGCTCTGTGGTTGACGTTTTAATTTTTTTAAATACGAATTTAAAGAAAATGGCGGGCCGTAATATTTGTTGACATGTGTTTAATTTGATATTTTTGTGTTTATTTCTTATTTTCTATCCAAGTGTTGTGTGTTAAATTAAAAAGAAATTAATAATTATCATTATGGAGCGGTGTGTGTGCCTAATCCTACTTTCTTTCGGTAAGATTTACTTATTTAAATATACTTAGTAAACTTCTCTACGGACTTAAAAAAGCGATAAGTTTGAACATTTATATGCATTATTGCGACATTTTGCTCTTACAAATATGTGTAGAAGTTCTTTGTGATAGATATTATCTGAAATTAAGTTCTTACTTAGTTAAAAGACAGTTTTATAGGCTTATTTATTTTAAATTTTAAACAAAAATAGTGAATATTTCTTGTTACCTAATAGTTTGTTACACAATTATTGGTGGCAAAGTTTAAAAAGTTTAGGTACCTTAATAACCAAACTTAGGTCACGTAACGCGAACTCTTTCGTCAATGGGTTGTGTATTTATGACACTGCTAAACAAGATTTCTAGAGATAGCTTCGCTTTAGGATACAGGGCTGATTTTTCAATAGTTAAATTAAAAGTTATCGGGAATAATAATGATGTTGTCGCTTTAGAATGTTTGTATAAGACAGTGACAGCAACAATTTTCTTTCGCAAATAACATTTTAATTGACTATTGAAAATTAAGCTCTTAAAAAACTAATTTTCTACCAAATCTGGGGTCAGAATCTGTATTTAAGTAGGTATCTTACCTACTTAATATTGCAAACGCGGAAGGTTATTGTTGAATGGATATTGTTTTGTTACTCTTTCACGTTAAAACTACTGAACGGATCTGAATGAAATTTGGCACAGCCATAGATTATATCTAGTCTTTTTTTTGTCTGGGGAAAATTATCAAATGACTTCTCCCGCCCAGGGTAAGGCGAGAGAGAGGGTCGGTCAGACTCTTACTGACTAAAACACCCCCGTTACTTCCCACCCATCCGATAAGCGAGGCAGTTGCCTCTTCGATGACTAATTTTTGTTGAGGTAGGGATTTTGTTTATGTGATAGGTCGGCAAACGAGCCTATGGATTACCTGATGGTAAGCAATCCGCTCCGCCCATGGACACCAGATAAGTAACAAGTGCGTTGCCGACCTTTGGGAACCGACTAGGGATTGGGGGAGGGGAATGATAGGGCTTATGGGCCTCCAGTAACTTCAGTCACACAGCGAAATATAACGCTGTTGTTTCATCCCGGTTTTCTATGAGGCCGTGGTATCACTCCAGTCGAGCCGACCTATTTCGTGCCGAAGCTTGGCTCTCCCACACTTAAACTAAAATCATCAAATGATTTCTCTCGGCCAGAGTGAGAGGGAGTGTCAGACTCTAACTGCAATGTGATTCTGTAAGACTTCATTCTAAACTTCGAATCTGAATCCGCTGTGAGTAGTAGTACACTAGCGCTACACTTGCGAGTTGAACTAAATTGACGCAACATTTTGATAGATAAAGTACCTATGAGATGACGTTAGAAGTGGCATTCTATTTTTATTTTTTTGTAATAAAAACTTTGGCCCACATTAGGATTTTCTCCTGTGTCGTGGGTGCGTTTACAAACATACAATTTCACAAACACATCACACCCAGACCCACGGAACAACAATTTGTGGATCACACAAAGAGTTATTCCGTGCGGGAATCGTGCAGTCCAATAATGTAATTTCCCCGTCACTTCGAAGCTCTCTTCACACTCGAACAAGATTCAAAATTAAACAAATTTTATAGAATCAACGTGCTGACTAGAACCTTTCCGTCTGCTTTGGGCCGGGGCCTCGGTACATTATATTAGGTACTTGCACCCACAACCGCGGCTGAGCAACAAAAGGTTGCGTCAACAATAAGCGGTTTTACCAGTTTAATATTACTTAGGTAATTGTGAGTCAAAGAAATGTGAATAGCTACTTAGTTACTCATTAATAGGCCTAATGATCTATTTAGGAAGGTTATTTATAAGTATCACTACACAGTATAAAACAAAGTCGCTTTCTCTGTCCCTATATCCCTATGTACGCTTAAATCTTTAAAACTACGCAACGGTTGTGTTGTGTTTCACCGTGTGAGTGAGATTACCGAATTACCCAATCCTCTTCTCATCCCCTAATCCCCAATTTTACCATGCCTTAAAAGCTGGCAACGCAATATGACGCTGATTGCTTACCATCAGGCGAAACTTTGGCTTATTTATCAGCATATCACAAAAATCCTAGTATGGGTTTCAGGAATCAAATCAAATTTCCTAAACTTGGACTTATCTATACTAATATTATAAAGAGGTAAAATTTGTAAGTTTGTATGTAGGGGGTAATTTGGAACCACTGGTCGGATTGCCAAAATTCTTTCACTGATAGATAGCTACAATGTTCCTGAGTGCTACAGGCTATAAAACATCACGCTACGATTAAATATAGCTGAGCAGCGGGTGAAACCGAGAGTAGCTAGTAATATATACTAATAAGTTTGAAATTGCCAATTTGCCTTGAGCAAGCGTCTTCTCCGTGTGAGAAGAGGCCTTTGCTCAGCAGTAGACACTTATAAACTGATGATGATGATTTAATTTCCGAACATCGATTTTTGACTAGGAACGCACATATAGGTCTGTACATAACTCCGTGATTTATTCTCGTCGCTACACACATTGTTACCTAACCTAACCTTGATCGTATGTGTGTCACAGACTGCAATCTCACGAACGCTGTATACATTTGTGTTTTGTCACTTATTAACGAATGTTGATGGGTCAAGGATAGATACTTAGGGTTGCATGGTGACCCGGGTTAAGCAAAATAATGTTCCGCGGCCCCGAGCTGAAGAAGGAACGGGGAGGTTTTTGTTCAGTAAGAGAATGATATTAGTTCTTTCCCCTACCAGGGCGGGTGATGTTCAAAAAAAAAATGGAGATTTGTCATGCCTTTTTTACCCTAAGGGTTTAAGAAGAGGTGTACTGTGGATATTATCACCAGGATTTTTTTTATGGAATAGGACGACAAACGATCAGACGGACGATTACCTGATGGTAAGTAATCAGCGCCGCCCATGGACACCCGCAACGGAGGAGTAACGAGTGCGTTGCCGACCTTTTAGAGATTAGGGCTTTGGAGATTTAGGGATTGGGAGGGATCGGGGGAGTGGAAGGATAGGGCCTCCGGTAACCTCACTCACACGGTGAAACACAACGCTGTGGTTGTTTCACGTCGGTATTCTGGGAGGTCGTCGCTATCACTCCGGTCGAGCTGACCCATTCGTGCCAAAGCTTGGCTCTCCCACACTAACACCCGGTTTCCGAAAGGCCGATCAATGTTAAAATCAATTTAATCTCTTGTCAAGTCATCTGATTGCTTGACTGAATTATCAACAACCAATCAGATGACTTGACAAGAGATTTAACAGGAGATTAGTTAATTTTAGCGTTGACAAGCCTTTCTAAAACCAGGTGTTAAACTTAGACAATGTTAAAAGCCCCGTGTTATGAGGTTCAAAATTTGGGGGCAGGAGGGATATCAAATGACTTCTCTTGAACCAGGATATGTGACAGGCAGTTTCGGACTCTTGCTGACTTATTAGCCCTGTTGGAACGCTAGGTACGCCAGCGTACGCTCGGGTCTTATTCTGGTCGCGATCCTGGCGGCGATCTGAGCTATTAGCTATTACAAAATAAAACAACCAAGAGACACCACTGAAATATGGTAAAAGGAAATATCGTGAGGAAATCTGGACTTGTAATTTCTAATTGTAAGTTTAAAATTAACTAAAAATCGCGGGTTACTCACGTGTATAAATTGAGAAAAGCTCTACTAGTTTCGAACCTCTAGTTCTTCCTCATGAGCAGCGTGCGCGGACGCGGCGACGTCGCGTCGCGTCAGTAGGTTGCGCGACGTCGCGTCGCGTCAGTAGGCTGCGCTAATTTTTAGTTAATTTAGTATGTCTCACGATAGTTATTATAAAAAGTTTAAAATTGTTACCATCATTTTTTTCTCTGTATGAGAAGAGGCCTTAGCTTAGTAGTGGGCGCTTTTTGACTGACGATGATGAAATAGAAATACCGTGCTTAAAGTTTTCAATTATTAAGTAAGTACTTGCGACCAGCCCCGGCTACGCACTACTGCGAATCACGGTTTAAATGGATGTTATTAGACAAAAAACATTCCTCTTCAATCACTCTTATCTATTTAAAAAATCCGCATCAAAATCCGTTGCGCAGTTTTATAGATTTAAGCATACATAGGGACAGAGAAAGCGACTTTGTTTTATACTATGTAGTGATTGCGTTCTGCCGGCGTTTCGTCCGAAGTATCAGGGTAAAAATGTACCCTATGTGTTATTCCAGACTATAATCTATCTCTGTGCCAAATTTCATTCAGATCCGTTCAGTAGTTTTTACGTGAAAGAGTAACAAATATCCACCCTTTCTATACTTACAAGTTTCATTACATTATATTGATAGCCTAATAAAATTTTATACATTTATGCAATGTAATAAAGACTACGTAAGTCAAGTAATTTTATCTACTAAGTCTTAGAAGTTATTAAGTACCTACATAGGTAGTTCGTTCAAGTGCAATTAAGTTGTCTTCAAAAAGGCATCTTAAAAATTCCTTTAGTCCAATTATAAACAAATCTGCTAACTCCTTTGGTGTTACCAGTGTCAATAGGGTACGGATTACCTGATGGTAAGCAATCGGCGCCCCCTATCTGCTCCTTCTCCGACCTATCCCAAAAAACAAAACTTTCACGCAAGAACAGATTCTATTCTAATAGAAATACGTTTTATTTTTCAGTATCCCAGTCATTTGCTTCAGTGATAATCCCTGAAGAACTGCCATCCTTGCTTTCAGTGGCATATTCAAATATACCACCTATTAAAAAAGGTAAGATTTTTAAGGTAATAAACATATTTCCCATGATCGAACCACTTTAGACACATCGTGAGGATACCTGGACTTATAATTTCCAATTATAAGTCTGAAATCGCCAATCCGCCTTGAGCAAGCGTGGTGATTAATGCTCAAACCTTTACCTTGTGAGAAGAGGCCTTTCTCAGCAGTGAGCACTTAAAGCTGATGATGATGATGGTGATGAGTCCATTACGCTTTAGCACGAATGGGCCAGCTCAACTGGAATTATACCACGGCCTTACAGAAAATCGGCATGAAACATCCAGTAGATAGACTGGACTATGACTAAAATTACCGAAGGACCCATCTTCCCCATCCCAAAATTATTCCTATCTCCAAATCCTCAAATTCTAACGTCCAAAACTTTTCTGTAGTGTCTGGTGTACGAAATTGCCATTAATTGCTTACCATCAGCTAACCCACCTTCTCAATTCAAACCACAATTGTTTCAGGAACGGATTCTCGCGTCGGTTTTGGTTTCGCATTCGGCAACCATGCTGACTTCCAAGTCATGTTCGAATTGGGACCTCAAACCAACACTCAGGCCCTAAGTAAGTTATTTCTTATATTCTTTTTACAGGCAGGTCTACCAGGGCCAAAAGCCAAAGTACTGCAGTGTGATTCTGTAAGACTTCATTCTAAATTTCGAATCTGAATCCGCTGTGAGTAGTAGTACACTAGCGCTACACTTGCGAGTTGAACTAAATTGACCGCAACATTTTGATGGATACAGTATAAGATGACGTTAAAAGTGGCATTCTAAAATTTTATTTCCCCATCACTTCGACGCTCACTTCGCACTCGAACACGATTCAAATTCAAACAAATTTTATAGAATCGACGTGCTGGTGTAATAAATCAATAGAAAAAACAATAACGGCCTCAAAAAAAAAAATATAGTAGTAGGTTTCCCCCGAGCGTACGGCGCAAAACGTACCGCGCGTTTTAAAGAGCCAATAGACTACCACAGACGGGACACTATAGGGCTGATGTTCGGGGGGGTTTTTAGTCAGTAAGAGTCTGACACTCAGTCTCGCCTCACTCAGAGCAGAAGACGTCATTGTGTGATTTTCCTCCTCAAAGAAAAGACCCCGGCCCGGAGCTGAAAGAGGAACCGGGGAGGTTTGTGGTCAGTAAGAGGCTGACACCCCCTCTCGCCCCACCCTGGATGGAAGAAATCTTTTGGTGATTGTGTACCAACAGTGAAAGACATATTCGAATCGATCAATTAGTTTCTCAGATACAAACCAAATAAAACCAATCAAAAATAAATGTTATATGCGATGCGAGAACCGAAAAGACCGTCTTCTAAATTTCTTAACTCAATCTAGCAATATTGTTTTAAAAAATGTCTTCTCAAATGGCCAATAAAGTGTGGGAGAACCATGCTTCGACACGAATGGGTCGGCTCGACCGCAGTGATACCACGGCCTCACAGAAAACCGGCGTGAAACAACCACAGCGTTGTGTTTCGCCGTGTGAGTGAGGTTACCGGAGGCTCATTCCTTTCCCTCCCCAATTTCAACACCTCCGAAACCCTAATCCCCAAAAGACCGGCAACTCGTAACTCCTCTGGTGTTGCGGGTGTCCATGGGCACCGCTGATTGTTTACCATCTGCTCGTCTGCTCGTTTGACGACCTATCACATAAAAATCCACACGACTCAAGAAACTGTAGGAAATATTATATTTAAAAAAACCTTTTACTAATAATTTCGCATAATATGTTGACCTCCAAATCAAAGTTACTCTACTTTAACCGGAAAACAACATGGTCAACTACCAGAATGTAGGTAGTTATTTTTTAACATTTAATATGTAGTAATTACTTATATTATTTTTAAGGACATTGGTCTTTCATTGGTCGAACAGATGGTAAGGGCAACTACCAATCAAAGGAATCAGTGACCTCTCGAAGGCTCAAGCCTGGGTTCAGGAAACGTGTGGATTGAGAGGAACTGGGCAACCATTTTTCTTGGGCAAAATCATCAAAGGACTTCGAGTCGAGAGAGAGAGTGTCAGACTCTTACTGGCTAAAAACCCCCCGTTCCTTCTCCTGCTCTAGACTGGGGCAGCGGTACCTCATTGCGCTTAACCCGCAACCTCGGTTGAACATCGGCCCTGTAGTGTCCCATCTGTGGTGGTCTATTGGCTCCTTGAGGCGCGTTATGTGTGCGACTGTACGGTTGGCGCGGTAGCTGGCTGCGATTCCCACACGGAACAAGTCTTTGTGTGATCCACAAATTGTTGTTCCTGGTCTGGGTGTGATGTGTTTGTGAAATTTTATGTTTGTAAACGCACCCACGACAAAGGAGACTTACAACTCACAGATAGAAATCAATGATGTTAATGTGATTATATTATTACTAGCTACTCTCGCGCGGTTTCACCCGCTGCTCGGCTCCATTTGATCGTAGCGTGATGTTTTATAGCCTATAGCACTCAGGAACATTGTAGCTACCTATCAGTGAAAGAATTTTGGCAATCCGACCAGCGGTTCCAAAGATTGCCCCCTACATACAAACTTACAAATTTTACCTCTTTATAATATTAGTATAGATAAACTAGCGACCCGCCCCGACTACAATGCTGATACTAAATTTCTCCACTATATAATGGATGTTATTATACATATACACCTTCCTCTTCAATCACTCTGTCTCTTAAAAAACCCGCATCAAAATCCGTTGCGTAGTTTTAAAGATTTAAGCGTACATAGGGATATAGGGACAGAGAAAGCGACTTTGTTTTATACTATGTAGTGTAGTGATACATAATTGTTTTTCATATTACTTTTTCAGACGGTCAAGGTTTCCAATCAACTTCTTCGAATGCCAAGCGACAAGCTAACTCGCCACCACCGACGAAACTGCAGAAAAATAAAGAAAAGGTATTTAATATTCTTTTCAAAGTAAGCCTTTTATGTTGTTTAGTTTGCAGGCGGATTACCTGATGGTAAGCAATTTGCGCAGCCCATGGACATCCGCAACACCAGACGTTTTACGTGTGCGTTGCCGGCCTGTTGGGGATGAGGGGGAGGATTTTTTTTAAAGGAGGAGATTTAGAGATTGGGGTAGGGGTGAATCAAACAACGTGCGTTTAGCCCTTCCCTTCCCCAATCCCTAAATCTCCAGAACACTAATCTCCAAAATGTTGGCAACGCAGTTCTCACTTCTCAGTTGTTGCGGGTGTCTATATGCGGTGCTCATTGCTTACCATCAGGTATAATCCATCTGCTCGTTTAACATCCTATCAAATGACATAAAAAATACTTTTTTGTTCCAGTACCACTCAGACGCGAGCAAATACCTCCAGAATTGGGCTCAGAAGATGAAATTCCCTCAGAAACAGCCACAAAATATTCAGAAACCAGGCGAGGTGCCAAACCTAGAAGAATCCATGGTCGAATTAATAAAGAACGACAAAGGGGAATATGAAATACACCAACCGAAACCTGGAAACTTGCCGCAGAACATTCTTGAAGATTTAAAGAAACTATACAAGCTGAAAAGCGAGGCCGCGAAAAAGATGGGTGGCGGAACGAAACGAAGCGAAGAGGAAGTTAAGAAGATAACTGAAGATTTGTCCAATGTGGATCTTGATTGAGGCTTTTTTTTTATATTTTTGTATTAAAGTTATGAAATAGATGGGATTTTTCTAGAGTTAATTTGTTTTATTTTTTACTCTATAACGTCTACCTATACCCTCATCTTTATGACGTAGGTCTTCAAACGAGCAGATGGATTACCTGATGGTAAGCAATTGACAACGCCCAAGGGATGTAATAAATACCAAAAGAGTGGCTACAAGTCCGTTGCCAGTCAATACGGATATGACGGGGGATTTGAGGATTAAGTATGGGGGAGGTGGAAGGATTGGGCCTCCAGTGACTCAATCACACGGCGAAACACAATGCAAGGGTTGTGAAACGCCGGTTTCCTATGGGGGTGTGGTATCAGACATTCCTGCCTAAGCTTGGCTCTCCCACACTTAAAATGGGACAGAGGCATACAGTTTAACTATGGGAGAGCTCGCATGGCCGTGTCGTGGTGGCCTGGAGGTTAAGGAGCCCGCTTCTCGTGGGCGTGGATTCCAAACCTGGCGAGTACCAATGTGACTTTCCGAGTTATATGTACTTTCTATGATTATTTAGACACCACTGACATTCGGTGAAGGTAAACATCGTGAGGAAACCTGGACTTATAATCTCTAATTATAAGTTTGAAATAGCCAACCCGCATTGAGCAAGCGTTCATGCTCAAACCTTCTCCGGGTAATCAGTGGGCACTTATGGGCTGATGATGTGATGGGAGAGGTATAAGTCGACATTACTTAGGTTGCCTGATCAGACTGATACCAAACCAAGGTGAAACGACACTTGCGTATGATTCTTGATGATTAATGATGATGAAATTCGATATCATCATCATCATCAGCTGGCAGACGTCCACAGCTGAACAAAGTCCTCCACGTCGAGTGACAAGTTGCCATGTCGTCGATATTGTCCGTCTAGAATAGTCTAGATACCGAATTCAATTTTGGCTCCAATGAATATGGTTCTATTTTTATTTTATTTTATCACTAGCCTGTAATTTCACACTGCGGGGCAAGTCGTCTTTCAAAAAATCTTTCGACCGTGTCCACCAGTCTCGACGATAGGCGTCTAGATCCTCACGCCATCTTTCAAAATTTGTATAAGTCCAGGGAAGGCTTCAAAGGTGAGAAAAAAGGATTCATTGGCTATTAGGCAGTACAAAGTTTGTCTGGTAGCTGACCCGACAAAATAATAAAATATAATTAAAATTGTACGGCATAACTTGTTAATTTTGGCACCCAATTTCAGATTTAACTTGTGTCATGGCTCTCTATTAGCTATAACATTTATTAATCAATACAAACTGCTCTAAAAGAATGTGACGAGTGCTTCTGTCTCTCAGACATTGATAGATAATATTCATTATACGACCGATATATTGACTGGGTAAGTCGTTGATTTTAAATGGAGTATGTCGGAAGATGACTCTCACATCTGATGGTAAGCAATCGTTCCCAATGAAGGATTTGATGATTAAAGATTTGGGTGGAGATTTGGATTTGGAGACTTCTGTCCGCAGTCGGACTGGTCATCGTGAGTGCACGGTTGGCGCGATGGCTGGGCAACTGGCTACCGCGCAACGTGTCGCGAGTCCGATTCCCGCACGGAACAACTCTTTGTGTGATTTACAAATTGTTGTTCCGGGTTCTGGATGCGATATGTAGGTAGGTAGGTATGCGAAATAGTATGCTTGTAAACGCACCCACGACACGGGAGAAAGTTCTAGTGTGGGGCAACGTTTTAATATTAAAAAGAAAAAAAAGTCTTATGTCACACAGCAGTGCCAAATCAAGGCTCTGACAGACTTTACTGTTGTTAATGGCATCGGTTAAGGGATTTTCGCATTGAACAGACAGTAAAGTTCCCTAAGATCGGAAAAGGATCCTACGAGCAGGCGAGGTGACCGTGCCTGGCGGGCTACTGCCTTAGACAATCATAAGCGGGCAACAAGTTGCTATAATGTGTCACTGTTGTACAACGTTCTTATAGAAGAAGGTCATATAAGTACAAATAATATTGCTTTGCCATAGTTTTGTGAGACTGACAGTCCACTTCTGTCTGTTATAGTACGTTAGAATTTTTCTATCCGTCTTTATTTGCAGGCAAACTTTACTTGCATTTTTTTCTGAAAAGGTAAAGAATCTTCGTCGCCTATGGAGACCCACAACAACAGAGGAGTTACGAGTGCGTTACCACCATTTGGGGATAAGGGTTTTTTATGGTATAGGCCGGTAAACGAGCAGACGGATTACCTGATGGTAAGCAATCAGTGCCGCGCATGAACGGAGGAGTTACGTGTGCCTTGCCGGCCCTTTTGGGGATTAGGGTTAGGAAGATTTAAGGATTGGAGAGGGATGGGATCCTCACTCACGCGGCGAAACAACGCTGTGGTTGTTTCACGCTGGTTTTCTGTGAGGCCGTGGTATCATTCCGGTCGAGCCGACCCATTCGTGCCGAAGCATGGCTCTCCCACACTTAAATAGGGTGCACAATAACTGCAAATTCATTTAGTCAATAGTTTAAGTAATAAGTACGTTTTAATAAATAAGTAACTTCGTACTTATTAGTGTGGGAACTTCAAAACAATGGTTAGGTTTTTCTACTTGTAGGTACCTATTTATAAGTAAACGAATATTTTGTCAATAAAGGTATTGTTTCTAAGCATTCATATTTCAACAGTGTTTGAGAGAAGTTATTGAATAAATATTAGGCGGAAAGTACTTCTTTGAAAATGTACAGTAATAATAATGTGTATTTCGCTGTTTTTTTCGTTGTTATGAAATGTAAGTAGCATTTTTAATTATTATAACTAGTTACTTTCGCGCGGTTTCACCCGCTGCTGATGTTTTATAGCCTATAACACTCAGGAACATTGTAGCTATCTATCAATGAAAGAATTTTGGCAATCCGACCAGCGGTTCCAAAGATTACCCCCTACATACAAACTTACAAGTTTTACCTCTTCATAATATCAGTATAGATTAAGTATTGAAAGAATCAATGATTGTGTTTGATTGGTCTGTCTCTTTGGTCTGTCTGTCTGTCAGTCTGGAATATAAGTATAGTTTTTATATAATCGACTGTATCACCAGAGGCTTCGTATAAATTTCGGCTTCTCCGACTAGGTCAATTGACAAATTGTAGAATTGTAAAAAATCTACTATAATAACATGCAAAAGCATTATTCGCACCAACAATTTTTGAGAGTTCCCCTCGATTTCTCTGGGTTTAGGTACATCATCTGGCAGTGTGATTCTGTAAGATTTCATTCTAAACTTCGAATCTGAATCCGCCGTGAGTAGTAGTACACTAGCGCTACACTTGCGAGTTGAACTAAATTGACCGCAAATTTTTGATAGATAAAGTATGAGATGACGTTAAAAGTGGCATTCTATAATGTAGGTAATTTCCCCGTCACTTCGACGCTCACTTCACACTCGAACAAGATTCAAAATCAAACAAATTTTATAGAATCGACGTGCCAGATCCTGATTTCCTTATCATGGGACCATTCCGGGACTATCTGCTTTCCAATAAAAAAAGAATTATCAAGATCGGTTTTTAAATAACGGAGATATCAGCTAACAAACTTTTATATATCAGCTAACATATTTTTATATAAAGTCGAAAAGTCGAAGTGAAAAACTCCCTCCTTTTTGAAAATCTGTTAAAAATGAATAAATTAAAAAAAAAGCTGATTTATTAGCTTTGTTTTCTCCTTAAACCTTCTCCGTGTAAAAGAGGTCTTTGCTCAGCAGTAAAATAGTTACAAGATCCTAAATACTATAATAATACGATATTGAGTCCAAAATCTCTTCCTTACTTTTGCAACCATTAAAAATCCTTATATTATTCAGGTCTCCCGAGTGCAACTATAATTCTGGTGGTAATACCAGAGGATGTGCCAGCGGGTTTGGCAGCTATTTACGGATTTGCACCACCTCTTCATAAAGGTATGGTATGGTAAGCGCTGCCGAATTGGTAAGCAGATGTGATTGCCAAGCAGGATCTTGATTATAGGCGCGGCGCGTGATGGAAATACCCTCCTCACGTTCCAACCACAGGAGATTCTCTGGGCATTACGTTAGAGATCTTCAGCTACCGTAAGCGCGGAGAAGAAAATGGGACTTTTTTAGTCTGCAAGAGTCTGACGCTCCCTCGCGCCTCACTCAGAGCGGGACATCTCCGGCCACCGTAAGCGCGGGTCTGCGGACGGCCAGAACCAGACCCGAGCGCACGGCGCGTAGCGTTCCGCGCGCGCCTCAAACAGCCAATAGACCATTACAATCGGGGCCTTATATAGGGCTGATGTTAAGCCGGGGTTGCGGGGTATACGCAATGAGGCACCGCCACCTCGGCCTAAAGCAGGAGAAGGAACGGGGGGGTTTTTAGTCAGTAAGATCCGACACTCTATCCCGCCGAGTCATTTGATAAGTTTTGTGACGATTTTCGAAAAAGTATGAACTGGATTCAACAAGGTTTTCAGATATAGTAAGGCTTATACTTACAGTAGGGATAATACGTTGCCCTACATAAGCATAATCTTTATCGGTACTAAAAAATTTAATATTATTTTGGAGGTCATCGAATTAATTCACATAATATTTATTTCTTAGGGCTTATTTTTCAATGGTTAGATAAAAGTTACCTGGGGAATAATTATGATGCTGTCGCGTCAGAATGTTTGTATAAGACAGAGACAGCAACAATTTTATTCCTCAGATAGCAAAAATCTGACTATTGAAAAATCAGCCCTTAGGTTAGTGCGAAATAATTGACCTCTTGTAGAAATTATTGCTTGTTTTTATTTTAATTTCAGGCAACGACCATCGTCTTGGTTTTGGGTTCCGCCTTGGCAACCATGCGGACTTTCAAATCCTTTACGAATTCGGCCCCCAACTTGTTACTAAGCCGTTGCAAACTTCAAGTAAGTTCTAAATACAATTACCTGTATACTTAAGTACCTACTAGCTTCAGCCCGCGGCTTCGCCCGCGTTGTAGGACTGTTGATAAAAATAGCCTATGTCCTATTCCGGAATATATTTTATGCATGTGCCAAATTTCATCTAGATCCGTATAGCCGTTTTGGTGTGAGTAGCCATGGAATTTCTTGTTCGATCTTCTCCATCGGAATCTACACTTTGGAACGAGTAATTAGCTTCACTAAGAGGACAGACCGACAGACTGACACTATATCTTCAAAATTTTGTTTGACGTTCAAAAGTGCCTGTAAGGATAGAATTGAAATAAATTATTATTGACTTTTTGACATTTGTGATTGAGTAACAAACATCCAAACATCGTAGCTTTCGAATTTATAATATCAGCAAGATAAAGCGGCGTCAGGATTCAGGATTATTTTGAAAAGAAAATCACGGTGCTCAACTCTGTAATTTCCTGTGTCGTGGTATACACATCACACTCGGATACTAAAATTTGTGGATCATACAAGGAATTCTCAAAAGAAACAAGACTGCATGGCTGGCGTGGTGGCTGGGCAAATGGCTGCAGCGCAACGTGTCGCGGGTCTGATTCGCGAATCGCGGTCCACAAATTGTTGTTCCGGGTCTGGGTGTGATGAGTATGCAAACTTGTATGTTTCTAAACGCTAAACGTACTCACGACACAGGACAAAATGCTAGTGTGGAGCAACTATTAAAAAAATTGTTCCATTTTCCACCTTTTCTTCTTTGAACCGCTTGGTTGGTCTTGGTGACAAACCACTAACATATTTGGCCTGAAGACGTCCACTGCTGAACAAAGGCCTGTCCCTTAGTCTTCATAATTCCCCACCTGCATCCGCGACTCTCCGGTCGGTCCACCTAGCGGGAGGTCTTAATACATTTATAAGGATATTGAAACATTTCGCTGAAATTTCATATGTGGGGGTTTTCGGAGATGGTCAGCTAGTAGCATATATGTATAAATAGTACATTGAATCTGACAATTTCTCTAGCATAGCTATATTTATGAACTCTTAATTTGAAAGATACTTAGATAATAGATTATTTATTACAGGAGTCCGTTCCACATCATACCGGCAACGCTTTGCACGACGTCGTCCTGTGTTTGAGTTACTGGTGAGAGCTGGCATCATCAAGAGAAATTATGATTATAATGTCATAAAAGAATGTGATGATGAACCTAGATAGTATTAACATTTTTAGTTTTCAAGTTCTTGATTTTAATGTAGTTAATAGGTATATTTAATTTTTATTTTTATGCTAATTTGAAAGATATTTTTAAATGTGTTAAGAACTAGTGACTTTGTGGCCTCTTTTAAATGTGACCTGGAAAACCAATTTGTGTTTCACACAAAGATTTGTTCCGTATGGGAATCGAACCCGCGACACGTTGCGCGGTAGTCACTTAGCTAGTTGCCTAGCCACTGCACCAACCACAGTCGACATCCAAACCTGACACCTAGACAGAAATTGTATTGGATTTGAATGGGCTATACGCTGCCCAACAGGCAGTTGCCCAGCCAACAAACCAATTGTGTAATAAAATTAATTATTGAGTTGAAACAATAAGAATACATTTTTCAATAAAAATACACAGAATTATTTTTAAAGAATTTTATTACTTTTCATAAAAACCTTCGGCTGACTACTGTACATCTAAATATAACCTAAAAACAAGAATTCCCGCCAAAACCGGCGGCCATTTTGTTAATTACATTATTTCAAAATGGCGAAGCGTGTATAATTAATCGAATAACGTTATTTGCTGTCTAAGCTTATGTATATTTTATGTAGATAGTTATAAAAATTAACTGGTAACTATGAAAATATTGATTTTCGTTTATAATTAACCTTAAAACTGTCTATGGCCGTGATTTTTATGCGAACTAAATCTCTATGTTTATTTATTCTAAGAGCTCATTTTTCAAATGTTACATAAAAGTTATCTGGGGAATAATTATGATGCTGTCGCTTCAGAATGTGTGTATAAGACAGTGACAGCAACAATTTTATTCCTCGGATAACTTTTATCTGACTATTGAAAAATCAGCCCTTAATATAGGTACTTATTATTCTTAGAACTAGTGACGTTATTATAAAAGAGGCCATTTAGGCCTGGCCATTCAAACTCATTTATATTTTGCCTTCCTATTGAGTAGGTACTTATGGAGAGTACGTTAATGGAAGGAGGACTGTGTCTGTATGTAAAATGTGTCCTCTGAAATGGGTTCAATTAGGATGGCGCTACTTTAGCAAAAGACACAATTGGGTATTTTCTTCAGTCCAAAATATTCCTTTAAAATTTCAAAACAAATATTTAAAAATAAACGTAGATCTTTTATGGATTGGACAATAGGTATATACTTAATTTCTGTTTTTTATTGGTTATATTTTAAGAAAAAGTAGGCTGTTTGGCCCAAATATATGATGACGTCACGTTTCTGTTTTCCAAATCAATTTCACAGGAGTTTCGTTTTTGAAATTTCAATAAAAGTATTGAATTTGACTAGTTGTCAAACACCGTATTCTGTTATTGGGCTAACTTCACTTTGTCACCCACAGCTACATTCATGTCATAACACCTTGCTACAGCTAGCGCCGCTCTTGGACAATTTTTGAACTGTTATTTTCTACTACAGCAGCTGTACTCTTTTTCAAATAATATCCGTTATATAAGACAGTTCTCCTTCCATGTGCCCTCCATAAAAGAGAAAGAGTTCCAACAAATTGGATACTTCACAAATAGGTAGTCAGAGTCGATTCATTTTTCGAATATTGTCACATTCGACAGTCGTTTATGACACGATTACAGTACGGCCGACGCACGTATCTTAGCGAGTCTGAAGTTAGCCGTTGGTCTGCGCCATGGACCTTCTAGGAACAAAATTGTGTACTGCTTAGACTCGCCAAGATACGTCGGCGGTATTGTACCTAATACGGGATTGTGTGTTGTGACGCTGTTTTCTTATATTTTACTAATTATTTAGATCGGTTAACTTACAGTTTTAACAATTAACAAAAACAACAACTTATACAACTACATAATTAACCAATTACATATTTTATAATTTAGTTATCTACATAGCTTCCGCCCGCGGCTTCGCCCGCATAGTGTGTTGATAAAAAGCCTATGTGTTAATTCAGGGCATCAGCTATCTACATAACAAATTACAACCAAATCGGTCTAGCCGTTTTGCGTCGAAGAATAACAAAACATACAAATGTACATTATTACAAACTGTCACATTTAGAATAATAGTAGGATGAAGAGAATGCTTGAAAGAGAAAAAAAATAAAAAAAAAGGATTAAGGATTTATACAAAGCGCCCAAATAAAACTACATTTTAAGTCGTGAAGTGCAAAACAGAACAGATGTCAATCCAAATATTTCCTAGGTAATCGGTTGATTTAGTTATTTTTTTGAGGGGAAAACTCATCAAATCACTTCTCTCGCCCAAGGTGGGGAGAGTCAGACTCTTACTGACTAAAACCACCCTGTTCCTGCTCCTGCTTGAGGCCGAGGGTGCGGTGCCTTATTGCGCTTGCCCTGCAACCCCGGCTGAATAGGTGAGGCTTAGTAATGGATAAGTCAAATTTGAAAAACTCGACATTTCATTAACTATCTCGTCTTCTGTTAAGTATCTAGTTAGACTAGGTACCTTGAATCATGCCTTTGAGAAAGTTGCAAAAAGGTCAGTATATAGAATTTTTCTTTTATTATTACATGACTATAATTATGAGAATAATATAGTTTAATATCTATCACTGTAATTAATTCAATTCCGGATTGTATCACTCAAATGTGCTCCTGCGCATTGCGTCTAGTAGCGCCATCTATTGGCTGTTAAAAACAACACCGAATGTGTTTTTTACCTTTTGAGGGGACATTAAAAAAACTAATCATTTTATATCGAGTAGCCTTCCAGTATAAGAAAACGTTACTAATGAAGAAAATAGCACAAAAAACATAGGTTTATGTAAAACCAAAGGGTAAAACAAAAAAAAATAACCAAAAAATAAATTTCAATACTTTATTTCGCCTACATTAAAAATTAGTGTGCTTTGCTATACAAAATAAAATACAGGGTCGAACAACTAAAAAAAAATCTAGAAAAATCATTATTTATATGATGAATACGCTTAGAAATTATTATAATATCTAGAACATAGGGTATTAAAATTAGTCTTTTACAAACATGGCATTTAAATTGAATTATTTTAATAAGTATTAGAAAAAACCGAGTTTTGGTTGCTCAGCAGTCATACCTAGCGAATAATTCAGCTAAGAAAAGCGAAGTTATCATCACCGCACATGGACACCCACAACACCAAAGGAGTTACGAGTGCGTTACCGGCCTTTTAGGGATAAGGGTTTTGGATATTTAAGGATTGGGAAGAGATGGGGACAGGGGCAGCATTCACACGGCGAAACACAACGACGTTGTGGTTGTTTCACGCCGGTATTCTGTGAGGCCGTGGTATCACTCCGGTCGAGCCGACCCATTCGTGCCGAAGCTTGGCTCTGGGAAAGGGAGTTATAAGTGTCGACGGATTACCTGATGGTAAGCAATCAGCGGTACTCATGGACACTAAATGCCTTAAAGAACTTTAAATGCGTTCATACAACCACTGTGACAACCAAATCTGGCCATTTCTATCATTATAATAATGGTACTAAATACATTTTTTAACAAAAACATTGAGTCATACATTAATTTATTTACAAAATATCATTTATACTTTTAAGAAGCGACTGTGATATTTCAATCGATCGAATTATAGCTAAGTAGATAGACAACAAAATAGTCAATTTTTTGAGAATAAATTTTACATAATTTCAAGCCCTTTCCTCTTTGAATTGATAGACAGAACATGTATAAACATGATATTTACGATTTTAAGTTTTATTTATAACCGGTTACAATTCAAAATTCTATAAAATATTGACAATTAAATATTACATTTAGGTCGAATCAGAAATCAACCTCGATTATAAATTTGAACTCAAAACCAGCTTAATTCGATCTACGCATAACAACATAGGTATACATATATTTCTCTTTGGACAAGTGAAAAAAGGTATACACAAAGAAATTTCACAATTAAAGGTCTTACAAAAATATGACTTGGACCTCTAAAGAAAAAAACTTAGCATTGAGGACACGCCCCTTTTCAAAAGATGATCAGAACGGTCCAATATGTATTGCTAAGATCCTGAGCGATCTCCAAACAGCTTATTAAAAATAAAAACACTTTTTTAACTATTTTGTGACATAATTCATTTCTTCATACTTTGCTATAGTTGAACAGATATGTAGTATAGTATTTTATTATCCAAATAAGCTTATTAGGGACTTATTTGCAAGATATTTGGCAGAGCCGTTTATGTTTTAAAACAAGGGTGTTTCAGAAACAGAGCCTGCTAAATGTTAGTTTAGGTAATTTTAAAGATAGTACACCTCATAACAAAGGAATGATTTTTTCAGTCATAGAATTTGAAAATTAATTGTGTATGTGGTACATCTAACCATAATTTTTATGTAATCAAAGGAATAGTTCAAGCCGAGACCTCTTAGATATGATTTTTCGGGACTTACAACGACATATTATGTTTTTTAGAGATTTTTGCTTGTACAAACTAAATCTACTGAAGATAACGATGTAGGACTGATTTTCCAATGGTTAGATAAAAGTTACCTGAGGAATAATTATGATGCTGTCGCGTCACAATGTTTGTATAAGACAGTGACAGCAACAATTTTATTCCTTACATTTATCTGACTATTGAAAAATCAGCAATTACTCACGTGAACTATCTGGATCTCTACTACTTTCAAATCAGAAAGGGACAGCCGGTTGCGTGACGTGATCGCGACGCAGCGTTCATTTAAGTCGTTATATTCAATCAATTTAATTTTGTTTGTATAAATCTATATATGTAAAAGAAAGTCGTGTTAGTCGGAGAAGGATAGATAGGGTAGAGTAGGTAGGGTTGGTAGGAAAGGTTGGGTAGGTAGTTTAAGGTTGGTAGCGTAGGTAGCATAGGGAAGGTAGGGTAGGGTAAGTAGTGTAGGATTGGTAGGGTTAATAGGATAGGAAGGTTGGGTTGGTAGGATAGAAAGGTTGGGTTGGTAGGATAGAAAGGTTGGGTTGGTAGGATAGGGTGTAGTAGGTAGGGTAGGTAGGTTGGGTAGTGTACGAAGTCAAATGACGGGAGCAAAGCCGCGGGTAAGAGCTAATAAATGCATAAAACACACAATCTTTGAAGAGGAAAACGGAGATGTTTTTATAGACTGTAAAAAAACTTCATAAGCCATATTAATGCCATATATTGGGTTTGGCATACAACAAATACTTTTATAGTGTTTTAATTTTCAAATCCTTTTCAAATAGTAGTTTTCATAATCAATTAATTAATTAATTAATATTTGGAATGATTCAATTAAATGCAATAAGATAAAATTTATTTAAAAAAAGTCTCAAACATAATTTTCGCTAAAAATGATAATTTGAAAAAAATGAAATTTGTAACAAAGCAGTATTTATCTGACTAGATACTTTTTTCTTGAAAAAAAGTACTGTCACAAATACCACTTTTAGAATTAATTTGTAGGTATAATAATGTCATATCTGAGTTATATGTACTTTCTATGATTATTTAGACACCACTGACATGCGGTGAAGGAAAACATCGCGAGGAAACCTGGACTTATAATTTCTTATTATAAGTTTGAAATTGCCAATCCGCCTTGAGCAAGCGTGGTGGTTAATGCTCAAGCTTTCTCCGTGTGAGGAGAGGCCTTTGCTCAGCAGTGGGCACTTATAGGCTGATGATGATGATGAAAGGGCAGAAGTCAGTTGCTGTAATTTCTTTAAGAGAGGACGATATCAGAATCCTGATTGATTTGAAAGAGAATGGAGTTTGTGATGTGATGTTATTATGACAGGAGAGAATGGTAGAAAAAATAATATAAAGACTTATTTCTCTTTCAATCAAAATACATATAAGGAAAACATAGTTCGTTTGTAAACGTGAAATTTTGCTAGATTGGGTGTTCGATACATATTAAGATAAAATTTAACATACAGATAGATTGAAAACCTGTACTTTATAAACCAAACAAACCATGGCCGGAATATTAGTATAAAATACGACAGATGTAAGCAGCGTTAGCACAAAAATTTCAACAAAAAAAATAGACGAGTATTTGTAAAATCCAATTTTTCGCACCAACATTTCGTTTTCCGGAACATAGATGGCGCTGTTTTCAATAACAAAATATTTAACAATGGCAATATTTTCGATGCTATTAACGACTTCTCATTGGACATCTATTGATACAAATTGACAAATGTACCTAATTTATTAATTATATTAATTAATTTAATTTAAAAAATCATTATTTACATCCTCACGTGTCAATGACAATAACTTACGATTTTCGTTATTTTCTTTTGAGATTTTGATATGGTACTGTAGAACTCTTTATAGTGTATTTAAAGTCTATTTTCGCTCAGCAAATGAGGTAGTATGATTTTAGTTGGTTGCTGTTTATATGTGAACATTAGCTCATGACGATACCTTGTGTCGCCTGGACAGTCAACCTCGCTACATCCTTGTTGACTGGACATCTACACTACATGAGCTGCTGTTTACATGTGAACATTAGCTCATGACGATACCTAAGTACGTGTGTCGCCTGGACAGTCAACCTCGCTACATCCTTGTTGACTGGACATCTACACTACATGAGCCGCTGTTTACATACATTCTAGAGTACCATACACAAAAAATCGAACACGTTAAGTTTATTAAATATCACTTCTTTCAAAAAACATGTCTTATTATATTAACTCGTTACGTTATCGATTATTTTCGATCGAATCGATTTATTATACGATTAATATCATAATATGGACAGAACTGTTCGTGATCGATGCGTTTGACTTACAAGTTGACAATTAAGTAGTTTTTACAATATTTTGGTTAAAAATAACCTCGTAAATAGAGGTTAAAATTATCATTTTTTATAGGCGAAAATACATTATAGCCTCCTGACGCGTTTGAACCCGATTTTTTTATATTGGACAGAACGTGACAAAGCGAAAAAATACAAGTTGGTGGCAAACGAGCTTACGAATGACCTAGTCGAGCTACAAGTACTTTGCCGGCTGTTGGAAATTTGGGGTGTGAGGATTGGGAGATTTAAGACATTGTGGATTAAAAGAGAGTGGATTGAACCTCCAGTAACCTCACTGGCGAGGCGCAATAATGTGTAAGCGTAGTTTCACGCCCGCATCGTCTGTGAGGAAGTTGTATAACTGAAGTATACGTAACCACCGGTTCTGACGCGATATGATAATCAATGACACGCCACGACACGTTAACATATTTCCGCCAAAATTCTTATTTAATTTATATAAGATATTACATTGAATTACTGAGGGCTGATTTTTCAATGGTTAGATAAAAGTTAGCTGGGGAATAATTATGATGCTGTCGCGTCAGAATGTTTGTATAAGACAGTGACAGCAACAATTTTATTCCTCAGATAACATTTATCTGACTATTGAAAAATCAGTGCTTAGAAACATTATTTAACTGTAGTTTTATAGGTACAATTATTATCTTTCTGAAATAACAATGCTTTGCGCGATTCGCGTCGTAACGAGGTAGAGAGTTGAAATATCCTTTTCAAAACATTTCAAAATAAAAATGATTAATAAATTTAAATCCAAATACTAATCAGTCCGTCAGATAGGTAGAGAAAGAATATCAGACACGTATTTTTTAATTGTCATATATATAAGAAAAGAATCGATGATAGATATAAAAATCAATGCCACATTTCGTTGTAATGTTATAACTCAACAATGCCTTTACCGATTTGGATAATTTTCGTCTTGAATTATTCGTGGAAGTCCAGAAAAGTTTTGTATGTAGAGATTTTTTTAAAATCTATACTAATATTATAAAAAGGTAAAATTTGTAAGTTTTTATGTAGGGGGTAATCTTTGGAACCGCTGGTCGGATTGCCAAAATTCTTTCACTGATAGATAGCTACAATATTCCTGAGTGCTATAGGCTATAAAACATCACGCTACGATTAAATGCTGCCGTGCAGCGGGTGAAACCGCGCGAGAGTAGATAGACTTGAATAAGTGTAAGATACACTCCCACGCGGACGGAGCCCAGGGCGACCGATGTTGGTAAGTGCATAACTCAACAACGCCTGGACCAATTTTACCAATTTTTTTTTTGAGGAGAAGGTTCTTATTAGAGAAAATATTAAAAAAATAGAAATTATAAGTTTGAAATCGCCAATCCGCCTTGAGCAAGCGTTGTGGTTAATGAACAAACCTTCTCCGTGTGAGAAGAGGCCTTTGCTCAGCAGTCAGCACTGATAGGCTGATGATGTGCAGAAAATAAAAAATACGCGTCTAATTCTTTCAATAAATCTAAAAGACGGACATTGAATTACCCATTCTCAACAAAAATCTTGCCTAAACCGGATATCCATCAAACGATTAATCTTACCGACCTTAAAATCCACAGTAATTAACACTTCACCACACACAAGTCACAGTTTTTTTTCACAAAAATGTTCAATTTTCACAGTTTTTTTTGTTTTGCACTACACTTAGTTTTTTCACTAGCTCTCTGCGGCGGGGTCCCTCGTGTTGGGCGGTAGACTCTGGGGTTGGTTGAACTGGTTCACCATTTTCGTTTGCATCATGTTCAGGAGTATGTCGGAGTATTGCTCGATCAGCGACATAGCTGGGTTGCTTGAATTCGCTGCGTCTGTGGGTAAAGAAATTGTGATTAGTTCTAAGTTACCGAGGAAGTTGAAACTATTGGGTAGTTTCCTAGGTAAAAAATAAATTAATTCGACGTTTTAATACGATAAAATATTGAAAAATAACTATACTTTTATTCATCGATCGATCGATACACTGAGTTTTAGATATTTTTTAGCTAATTACGAAATAAGTAAGCTATCTGACGCATAAATACTATGACGTCATAACTCAGTTTTTCATACTTTCATAGAAAAGTATCGGTTTTGACGTTCGGATAAAGGTATTGAATTTGATTAGTTGGAAACTACCGGATTGTAAAATGTTTTTTTTTAAAGATAGGTTTTAAACGAGTGTACGCATGGTCTGATGGTAAGCTAATGTTTGTTGCACATGGATACCCGCAACTCCGGAAGGCGATACAAGCGCGTTGCGCGCGCTTTTAGGGGTTTTAAAAAAATGGAAATTGGGGATTGTAGATTAAAGAATTGGGGGATTAGGGGGATTGGTGATTAGGACAAAGAGAAAGGAAAGAGCAGGACTTCCGGTAACCTTTAATATTTTAGGTTACCGGAAGTCCTATCCTTTCCTGTCCTCAAATTCCCTATTATACCCTCCCCAAAAACGTCCCGTTTCCGAGATCACATGCTTTTTCAAGCAATCAGCGCCATGTGCCGGCGTGACTTGTGAATCTAAACCATCCAGGGAGCCACTCAAACGCATATAGCAAAATTCATTTAAATCGGTCAAGCTGTTTAGGAGGAGTCAATGACATACACACGAACAGCATAATTATATATATATACTAGCGGTCGTCCGCGTCTCCGCCAGGGTGGATGGCAATTTTACACATTTTCAAGATTTAAAAAAATTCTCGAAACATCTTTAATTCCTTTAGAAAATTAAAATGTTGTAATTTGATTAAATAAGTCTCATATATGCGACACTATATGTAACTTGTCTGTCACATTAGTGTCGCACAAAAGGACAGTCCAGTCTATTCGCTATCATTTTCAGAACGCTATAAAGATTGTGTAGATTTACCTTTACCGACGAGATGGTCTATCGTTGGCTGCAGCCTGTAGTCCCCGTCGGTGGAGGACAGGCTGCTGAGCGCCTGGTCCCCGTTCTGTGCCCGACTCACTGCGCTGCGCAATACTTTCTGTGTCTCTAGGATCGCTGCTTCGAGACCTGGGAAGAAGCAAATAATATTTTATTGTCAACTCAATTCATCAGTAAGGTACTCATTATCAAGAGTCCCGGTGAGACTCGAAACTAGTCGAGATGTTCTCGAAAATCTTTGTTGATCTACAGCCGGGGTTGCGGGACAAGCGCAATAAAACACCGCTTCTTCGGCCTAAATCAGGAGAAGAAACGGGGGGGGGGGGGTTTAGTCAGTAAGAGTCTGACACTCCCTCTCGCTTTACTCTGGGCAAGAGAAGGTACTTGATTTTCCTCCTCAAAAAATGCATGTTATTTGGCCGTTATCACGCCTGGTAAGTGATGATGGGACCTACGATGGAGCACGCCTACCCATAAGCGACCTATTCACTCGGACCTTGAAGACACCCATGTTATACCCTTCGGGGAACACACACTCCGGCAAAGAATTCCACTCCTTAGCGGTTCGGATTATAAATCTGTAAGCGAAAAGCTTCGTGCGTGTAAAATATTATTAAGTAAATCAAATTTATTATTTCAATTAGACCAAAACAGGCACTTTTAAACGTCAAGCAAAAAAGATATCATAAGGTTTAACTTTATGTGTCAGTCTGTCCGTCTGTCCTTTTTTTTTTATGTAATAGGTCGACAAACGAGCAGACGGATTACCTGATGGTAAGCAATCAGCGCCGCCCATGGACACGCGCAACGGAGGACTCACGAGTGCGTTGCCGACCTTTTAGGGATTAGGGATTTGGAGATTTAGGGATTGAGGAGGGATTGGAGGAGATGAAGGATTGGGCCTCCGGTAACGTCACTCACACGGCGAAACACAACGCTGTGGTTATTTCACGCCGGTTTTCTGTAAGGCCGTGGTACCACTCAAGTCGAGCTGACCCATTCGTGCCGAAGCATGGCTCTCCCACACTTGTCCTCTAGTGAAGCTATTCATACAAAGTCTAAACATGTTCAAATAAAAATAATAATTTTAGTATATTACCGCTAATATCGGCCGCAGCGTTGGGTTCCCGCTGTAAGCTGGCGTACAGCTGGACAACTTTGCTTGCCGTCTTCGTAAGTTGCTCTGTCAGAGCTGAACAAAGCTGCGACGATGTTACTGAAAGGTACAAGACTTTGATTAATATTGTTTATATAATAATAATAATTTTTTTTTTTGTATATTGATGCGTTGGCAAACGAGCAGACGGATTACCTGATGGTAAGCAATCAGCGCCGCCTATGATAACCTATTCAGGATTTTATAATCCCGAGGCAAGGACGTGTGGTGTGTCAGCGCTGAAAACCAGCGCTGTTGTTTCGTGCCTGCGTGCGCGAGACACAGCATTTATGCTGAGCACTGCCCCTTTTCACGCATGAGTGACGCAATCAATCGCAGCGCTTTTTTTATGTTCATTGTTTGTTTTGTCCTTATATTGCTATATTTGTGTGTGTTTGTTTCTTGCGTCATTTGTGTGTAAAATAAATGGTTTTTCTTTCTTTCTTTCTATGGATAAACGGATCACGAGATGATTTGTAAGGGCGTTACCGACCTTTTATTGATGATGGAAGCAAGAAGAGGCGAGGGGGGGGGGGATTGGGGCCTACGGTAAAAATGATAGCGGCAAAACGGGAAAAAGTGAGGAAGCGTGTAAAATGGAAGCGTGGTGGTTAATGCTGAAACCTTCTTCACATTCATACACACGGAGAAAGTTTTGAGCATTAACCACTTCGCTTGCTCAAGGCGGATTGGCGATTTCAGACTTATAATTAGAAATTATAAGTCCAGGTTTCCTCACGATGTTTACCTTCACCGTATGTCAGTGGTGTCTAAATAATCATAGAAAGTACATATAACTCGGAAAAAGTCACATTGGTACTTGCCAGGTTTTGAACCCTCAAGCATGGGAAGCGGGCGCCTTAACCACCACGATGATATGATGATGTGCCGATTGCTTACCATCAGACAATCCGTATAGTAATTTGCCGACTTATTACACAAAAAAAACCAAGCATCTCCTTGTGTTTTCATAGTTATAATCAATGAAATTATAAGTATAAATAGGTTCCATAAACAACATTCAATTTTCAAACACATTACACTAATGCACACATGAATAAATCGTATGATACGCGTTAGAGTGGGATGGCATGATTCAATAATCGCGGGTGAAAAAGAGACAAATATGAAAAAGTGTGGCTAGTCAGCTACATTTTAATGTATCACTTGCTGAGCGCTTGTAACCTATCTACACCTTTTTACTTATAATGTCATTGTTTAGAATAATGTTTACGTACAGTTAGCTTCGGCGGGCGGCTCCTGTTTCTGCCTTTGCCTTGTATTCGCCGTCAGCCTGGCCGTAACTTCTCGAGCCTTCGCCGACAGATCTCTTTCACTGCCGCTACGACCTGAAAAACGAACATTAGAATTAATAATCAATACTAGTATTACAAAGACTACTATAGGGCTTTTTTGAAGTTCTTTGTGAGGGGAAAATCATCATGATGAGGTGTGAGAGAGTGACAGACTCTTACGGACAAAAAACCTTCCGTTCCTTCTCCTGCTTTAAGCCGAAGTCGTGGTGCCTCATTGCGCTTACCCCGCAACCCCGGCTGAACATCAGCCCTATAGGGCCCCGTCTGTGGTGGTATATTGGCTCTTTGAGGCGCTGTCCGCTCGTCGGGTGGCAAAATACTCTTACTCTTACTTTTAAGTGTGGGAGAGCCAAGCTTCAGCACGAATGGGTCGGCTCGACCGGATAGATACCACGGCCTCACAGAATACCGGCGTGAAACAACCCACACTGTTGTGTTTCGCTGTGTGAGTGAGGTTACCGGAGGCCCAATGCTTCCCCTCTCTCGATCCCTCCCAATCCCTAAATCTCCAAAACCCTAATCCCTAAAAGGTCGGCAACGCACTCGTAACTCCTTTGGTGTTGCAGTGTCCATGGGCGGCGCTGATTGCTTACCATCAGGAAATCCGTTTTATCCGTCTCTCTAAAATAAACATCTGCCAAGTTTTATCAAAATCCATTCAGTCATATTTACGTCAAAGAGTAACAAACATCCATCCTTACAGACTTGTACACTTTCGCGTTTATAATAATTACTAGCGGCCCGCCCCCGCTTCGCACGGGTCCAACTATCTCGCTATCAAAGGGTCACTTTTTTCTAATCTCACCCTCTACTTTTCTAATATTTTCTTTGATAAGAAAGAACCTTCTCCTGACAATAACAAACACAACAAAAAAATATTTAGCAAAATTGGTCCAGGCGTTGTTGAGTTATGCGCTTACCAACACATTTTGCGATCCATTTTTATATATAAAGATTAGTAGGAGAGTGACTCACCTATTCTCCTCTGACTATGGTCGACGGAGGACGCCCTGGGTCGGGGTGGGGCGGTGCCATCACCGTTGTTCCTGTCTTCAGCTTCAGAGCTGGACTCCTCATGAGCGCCCGTTGCAAGGCTCACTGTTAATATGTGAGGTTAATTTTGTGATGTGCTTGTGGTATAGCTTTGTAGATCAGTGGAGTATTTTTAGTAATTAAATTATACATATTATATAAAAATATTTTTGAATCCGTGAAGAAATTTTTGTCATATTATCTATACTAATATTATAAAGAGGTGTATGTACTTTGGAATCGCTGCCTGGTCGGAATGGCAAAATTTTTTCATTGATAAATATAGCTACAATGTTTCTGAGTGCTATAGACTATAAAACATCAGGCTACGATCAAATGGAGCCGAGCAGGGGGTGAAACCGCGTGAGAGTAGCTAGTCAATTACAAAGAATCTCGAGGTTTAAGTCGAAACTTGTTATTTCAGATTTTGTTGGTCAAATTCAATATTTTTTTTTTACTATGAAACAGCTTTGCTGATTCAAGCTAACCCTTTTTTGCTAGGTAATCTACTTTGAACAATTAAATTCATACTAAACTAACTAGTAAAGATCACAGCGTGATGTTTTATAGCCTATAGCCTGCCTCGATAAATGGACTAACAAATACGAAAAGAATTGTTAAATTCGAACCAGTAGTTCCGGATATTGGCGCGTTCAAACAAACACTACAGCTTTGTAACATTAAGTACAGATCACTTTTCCAAACTGCATTAGAATAAGATTTAGGACTTCAAAGTTTGCATACAAATCCTTTCAGCGAAAATGCTCTTAAAGTTCAAAATGGCATGAAATTAAATTCAGCAGTGTAGTGGCTTTAGTATAAAGTGCTACTAACTACTCAACTATTTTTAAACTACTCGACCATTTAAAGTTGGTCTCAGTTTTACCTGCACTGTAAGCGTTGGCGAGGCCTCGTCTCCTGGCCGTGTTGGCTGCAGCTTTGTTCAGTGAGGATATAGTTGGCCTCATTAGGCCTTGTGACCTGTTTGATTGCTGTCGTGAAGGTTGAGGGTCGGATTCAGAGTCGCTCTGTGGATAAGAAATTGAATATTTTAATAATGTAGACGAAATTTTAAAATTAAGTAAGGTATATTATTATTTAAGTGAGGTCCGCAAACGGGTCGACGGATTACCTGATGGTAAGCAATCAGAGCCGCCCAAGAACACCCGCAACAACAGAGGAACAACGAGTGCGTTGCCGACCTTTTAGTTTAAGGATTGGGAAGGGATGGGGGGAGGGACAGCGATTGAGCCTCCGGTAACCTCACTCTTATGTCGAAAAACGATAATTGTTTCACGCAGGTTCAACATTGTTCGAGATTGAAATTTGGAGATAAGGGATTGGAGATTTGGGATTAGGAGATTTGGGGATTGGGGAGGGAGGTATGGTATCAAGTCAAGGTCTACTGAAAAGAAAAAGAATATATCCACTTTCTTACCTGATTTAAGACACCAACACTGGAACTCCTTGTCATGTTCGATTTGTTGGTATACCTGGGGGCAGGTCTTACGAAGTTCCCTGGAGACTTGGAGTTGGAGCCATTCTGAGGAGTCGACGGCTTCGAGGTTTGTCCTGTACATCAAAGTCAAAATCAAAGTCAAAGTCAAAATCAAAATCAAAATCAAAGTCAAAATTATTTATTTCAATTAGACCCTTACAGGCACTTATAAACGTCAAATTAAATTTCAAATGTCAACCTGTCGGTCAGTCCTCTTAGTGAAGCTATTTGCTCGTTCCAAAGTGTAGATTCCTATGGAGAAGAACGAGCAAGAAACTCCATGGTTACTCTTTTTCAATCAGTTTCACATACAGATTCAGACATCATCATCATCATCATCATCATCATCATCATCATCATCATCATCATCATCATCATCATCATCATCATCATCATCATCATCATCATCATCATCATCATCATCATCATCATCATCATCATCATCATCATCATCATCATCATCATCATCATCAGCATCATTATTACTGAGCAAAAGTCTTTTCTCACACAAAGGAGTTAGCATTACCATACCAGATCAAGACTAATTAGAAATTACAAGTGCAGTATTTCCTCGCGATTTTTTTTTTGGGATTAGGGATTGGGGAAGGGGAAGGATTGGGCCTCCGGTAACCTCACTCACACGGCGAAACACAAGGCAGTGGTTATTTCACGCCGGTTTTCTGTGAGGCCGTGGTATCACTCCGGTCGAGCCGACCCATTCGTACCGAAGCATGACTCTCCCACATGTAAAATGTTTCAATGGCATCTTATAAACTTCATTAGCTCATACCACATTCAGACATCTACTCAAGCACGCTAGAAAGGGACACCAATAGTTTTTATAGTGGAAACTATTATGTGTAGCAAGCTGTGTGTGTTTATTTTATTGAATATAGGTTCGCGCTTGACCGCTATCTCACCTGATGGAAAGCGACGATGCGGTCGACGATGGAGCGCGCTTACCTAGAAGTAACCTATTCACTCTTGACTTAAAGATACCCGGATTGTAGCTATCAGGAAACACCGACTCCGGCAAGGAATTCCACTCCTTGGCTGTACGCTTAATGAATGCGCTCCCAAAACGTTTTGTACGTATATGTGGGACATCCATCATGTACCGGTGGCGCAATGCCGTACGTCTGGTGGTCCGATGATGGAACGGGCTAGGCGGAATTGAATTATGTAATTCCGACGCACAATCCCCGAAATGCAACCGGTAGAAAACCGACAGGCTAGCAACTCGGCGTCGTATGTATCGCCATAAAGGAGGACTGATTAAGAAATTTCAATGCTTTTCGAGTTTGAAAATTGTATCCTTTGTATTCTTAAAACTCATGACACATTTCAAATAAGAAAGAGCTTATAGAATAGATATTTCGTGTGGGAATCGAACACACAATTCAAAACTTATACTTACTTCTTCCGAAAGGCCGATCAATGTTAAAATCAATTTAATCTCTTGTCAAGTCATCTGATTGGTTGACTGAATTATCAACAACCAATCAGATGACTTGACAAGAGATTTAACAGGAGATAAGTTAATTTAAGCGTTGACAAGCCTTTCAGAAACCGGGTGTTAGTAGGTATAAGTATCATAGAAAACTTTACACACTAAGTAAATACATCATAACAACTAATATTCGCCAATGGGGTAAGTAGAGATGAAATTGTACAAGGTACAATCTTCTTTAGTTACCCATTTTTTTTTTATAAAAACGTTGCCCTAATCTAAGATTTTCTCCTGTGTCGTGGGAGCGTTTACAAACATACAATTTCACATACACATCACACCCAGACCTTGAACAATAATTTGTGGATAACACAAAGAGCTTTTCCATGCGGGAATCGAACCCGCGACCCGTTGCTCAGCAGCCAGTTGCCCAGCCACTGCGCCAAACGGTCCAGTTAAAATTTTGTATATATTGCATTTAAAAGTCGTCCGAGTCAAATCAACAAAGAAAGAACTACTTCGTGTGGGGATCGAACCCAAAATCCAAAACTTCTTTATAAAGAAATAAAATGTATCATAACAACCTATTCTTCAAAGGGGGGCTAAGCAGAGATGAAATTCTAGCACACTGTACGTTAGTTACCCATTATCAATGTTAGAAGATACAGTTAAATTAAAATAATTAAGATTATGTTTTATAATAACTATCGTGAGACATACTAAATTAACTAAAAATCGCGGGTTACTCACGTGTCTATCTTGAGAAAAGCTCTACTAGTTTCGAACCACAGAGGGGTTCTGCCTCATGAGCAGCGTGCGCGGACGTGTCAGTAGGCTGCGCGACGTCGCCGCGTCCGCGCACGCTGCTCATTAGGTTTTTCCCGCGATCTTTAGTTAATTAAGATTAGTTTTGTAATTAATCTAACTGATGCACCCAGAGTCGTACATATAATAATAAGGTAGCTTCCAACTAATCAAATTCAATACTTTTATCCAAATGTCAAAAACGACACTTTTCTATGTGACGTCATAGTATTTTTGCGTTAAATTTTTATAAAAAATTAGCTAAAAACATCTATAATTCACTGTATCGATCGATCGATGAATAAAAGTATAGTTATTTTTCAATGGTTTATTGTATTGAAACGTCGAATTATTTAATTTTTGACCTAGGAAACTACCTAATCACTTAAACTATTACTTAGTTGCGATTTAGTTCTTAAAACAATAGCTAACGATTAGAATACGGTTTTATTAAATAACTCTGAGTACAACGACGGTAAACTCTTAATACTGGATTGATAATCTACTACTATTAATTACAATTAAAATAAACTTTACAAGCTACTACAAATAGGTACACTACACATTAAATAAATTTAAAACTAATAAGATAAAAAGCATCACATCACATCAAGTGCCCAGCTGAGCAAATGCTGCTTCCGTGTGACGGAGGATGTTTGAGCATTAATCACACTGCTTGTGCGGATTGGTGGTTTCAGACTTACAATTATATTGAATTATTATTATATATTGTTGCATTGTTTAGTTTATTTTCGAAATAATTTCAAAGAACAGTAGAATGAGCTGGTCATTTCATGTTCAATTCTCTCAAGGGAAAAAATTACCAGAATTTTCGTGACAGGGGTAACCCTGTCACGAATATTCTGGTAATTTTTTTAGCTAATTTTTTTCGCAAATTGTGTCTTGTTAAATTTTTATCAATAAATTTAATTTTTCATATAATAAATAAATAATAATTTACAGCCATTTTGGGTGAAAGAATTAGAAATATCCATATGAACTTTAACGTTAAATAATAACAAATTATCTAATAAGTTGGAAGTAGTATTTCAGTCCTCCATATTAAAGTTCAGACTACCAATCAAAATACATAATTTGATTAATAATAATAATTATGTGCATATAAAACACACGTGAACAATTTAGCTGCAACTACATAACCATACCAACTTCATAGCTTATCAGAATAACTACCCAGACCTGGTTAAAAAGCCCAGACACCAATAAACCAACCCAGATACCAAAAAAACCATAATAATACCAGTGCATTTTTTACATTAGAATTAAGAACGGAATTTTTTATTTCATTTCCTGATCATGGCGACTCCAAGTGCTGATAAATTTCAGCCGGGGTTGCGGGGCTAGCGTAATAAGGTACGGCGGCCTCGGCCTACAGCAAGAGAAGGAGCAGGGGGGAGGTTTTTTCAGAAAGAGTCTGACAATCTGACACATTGGATGATTTACCCCGTGCCGATGAATCAAAGTCAAAGTTAAAATCCTTTAGGATTCCAACTGAACTATAAACAGGTACTTTTGGAACGACAAAATAGAGTAGTAGTCTGTCAGTCAGTTCGTCATTGAAGCTAGGTGCTCTTTCCAAAATGTAAATTCGAATGGAGAAGAAACTTCCTTTTGAGCAAGGAAACTCGAAGCAGTTAGAAACTTTATTTTTATGGGATAGTTCGGCGAACGAGCAGACGAATTACGTGATGGTAAGCAATCAGCGTGAACTATGGACTCCAGAGGTCAGGGTTACAGTTGCAAATGCGTTGCTTGCCTTTTTGGGGGTTGTTAGGAATATCAGCATTAAGAATTTGGGGGTGGGAGAAGGAAGGGCCTCCTATTAACAAGAGGAGAAAATATCCTGTTATAAGATAATACAAACAAAGATTATGTGCAGTAAAATAACAGAAAAAGAGATTTTGATAGAAGAATAGAAAATGAAGATATTGTGACTTAAGCAAAACACAAGGAAAAAAATCGGAGAGAAAAAAATACACCTTTTTTATTAGTTGTAATGAAAAAATGCCAGACACAGGTTATTCCTCCCAGACACAATTTTAATGGTTACATTTTTTCTATCCCTGTTTCAGAGCTAAAAACCCATCACCAGACGCACCTTGAGTCGTCCTTGGCGCAGGCATGGGTTTGGCAGCGAGATCCGAAAGAGAGATCGCTCGTCTCATCCCTGAACCCTCCTCCTCACGGTCGGAAGCCGACAGATGCGAGCGATTCGCTGGCGACACGGTTACTTATAAATAACATGCTATTATAGCGAGCTGAAGGTTTTTGAGTTTCACTACATTATGTATAAGATTCTATATTCATTGAAGAGTATATAAATTATAACTTAGGCCTGATTATTCAATAGTCAGATAAATGTTATCTGCGGAATAAAATTGTTGCTGTCACTGTCTTATACAAACATTGTGAGGCGACAGCATCATAATTATTCCCTAGGTAACTTTATCTAACCATTCGAAAAACCAGCCCTAGTCGGAAATAATTGTACGTTTTAAAAGCTACATAGGTACTTCTAAGATAATCAAGGAACTTAGAACGAAATAACTCCTTATATTTTGATGTTAAAAGACGTCTACGATCTAATTGTTACATAAAAATTTAAATAAACCATTCAGTTTGCTATAACTAGACGCACAAACATAAAAACACAGATATGCATGCACGAAAAATATATTTGCCTAAATTCTAGTATAATCATGCATGCTGTGAAAAAAACCTGAAATAAAAACACATGAAAAAAAGCAATGAAAAGTGATATGTCGTGAATCAGCCGTGCTCGTATAGAAATATATATGAAAATAATTGCACATTCATTATAACAAGTTAATTGCCGATTTTTAGAGCGAATTCACAAAATATCACAATTTAATTTGAAATAGAGTGTATGTGGGTTTTTTGAAATTCCGATTTTTGGGTCTTTAGAAAGAGCAATGAACCTATAAGACAAAAGGTCCTAAACTGAAAAAGTGTGGAATATTATCTTGTGGTTTATACATTTATGATTTTTTATATTCCAATTAGGAATTAATAATAAAATGGGCGAGAATTCTTTGAATGTTGGTCTGAATATGATTTTAAAGAGTATTTAGATTTGGGAAAACCTTGTCTGGACAGAAACTAAGGCAGACTTGGTTTTCAACTTAATATTTGACCTAACCGAGAAAACTCATTTTAACGGGACTCAATTACTCAAATTCATAACGTATCTTTCTCGTAGAGCTTTTCTGAGTCATTTTACAAGAAATATGTCTTAATAAAATAGTAAAGATCAATGCAACAGCATCCGGAACCCAAAAAACAGAAACCCAAAAAAACCTTAACACCAATTAAAAAACCGCAACTAAAAGGGACTATTAACGACATCGAAACATTGTCTCATGCAGTCCCAACCTTGATTCGGCGAGAATTTCGATGGCAAAACCGGATTTTGGACTGGAACCTTTTTCGCTAAACAAGAACCCCTAGGCGAACCGTACAGGACAGGTCTTATTTTATGTGGAAAAAGACGGTTTTCCATACACAATCTGGGCGTGGGACCCCTAATGATCTTTCGGAAAGGGGTCTTTGGTCTACTGAAGCCGTAAAAGGATAGTCTTTTTGGGGAATTCGTGCAACTCGAGCTCGTTGTTGAAGATTCGTAATTTTCACTGTCCAAGTGTACGTCTGTTTTTGGTATTACCATTTCGTTGTACACTCTCTGTTTAAGACTTCGTGGTGGATTGCCGATTTCTGGTTGGAATGCGTTGTTAAGTTTAACGTCTTCTGTAGGTCCTGTGTTACCAGCTTCGTTCGTTATGTCTCTACCAACTGTGACTAGGCCTCCGATTTGGTCTGAGTCCAGAATATCAGGTAGACTTAAGTTTCTTTTTATTTCTTTATTCTCTGAGGCAGTGTCTGTGTCTGTATCAGCCTCTTCTAAGGTCAAAGAGGCGAAATTATGAACGGTAGAGGATTGTTTTGTTGCTAGTTTTTCGAATTTTCTAGATAACAGCTTGACCACGCCTTTCCCGTCATTAATGTTAGCTTTGAGAGGTCTCATCCTCCATTCTTTGAGTATCTTCTCTTGTAGAATCCTCTTCTCTTCCATTTCGACCAATTTGTTTATAATTTCTATCTTTCTCTCTATGTTTTTATACTTTTTTATTTCTTCGCTGATTTCTGGCGAGATATTTTCTTTCGTGTCACTCTGCCGACTGTGTGAGGGTTTTGAGAGGTCATTCCTAGCTAGTTTCAGATTGAGTTGATCTTTAGATGTTTTAGCGAATAGCTTATTGTCCTGTTCGGCGTAATAATCAAGGGAATCTTTTGCAAAATCGTTTGGGTCTATATCCAAGGAATCCATGCTAACTTGCTTCAGTCTCTCCATTCGCTGCATAGCGTACACTTCTAAGCTATCCATTTGAATTTCAGATTTGTTTTCGTTAACATCCTTCTCTTTCACGAAAACGTCGAAATGCTTTTCAGTACTATCTGCTTCGATGTTTGAATTCGCATCTTCTGGTTTCTTGTTTCCTAGATAATTTTTGTTGTGTAGTCCGTCGAGTTTGGCCTTGTATTGTGAAGATATTGATGAAGTCAATCCAGACTTTTCTATGCCAGCTTTGAGTCTGTTATTCATTTTAACTGAAGAAGTCCTTTTGATCGGTTTTGGAGGCTTGTGAGGAACAAACTCCATCGTTATTTTAGTATTGTTATTCTTCTGTCCGGACCCTCTTTCGAGGCTTTTGGTAGCATTATTATATTTACCGCTAGATTTTTCTTTATTTAACTGATTCTTACTAACTTTGGTTTGTGTGTTTTTCCGTATTTGCTCTTCGAATTTCTCTAAATTCTTTTGGACGTGAGAATTACGTTTTTCCATCAAATTCTTTAAGGGATTCGGTTTGGACGCCGGTTCTAGGACTACCTCGAAACTGCAGCTTTTGGACTTAACCATAGTTTTGGTTTCACAGCCCTCCATTTCGCTTTTATACTTATCAGCGAATTTCGGTTGAAGAGATTTTGTGTTACTCATGTGATCTGATTTATTCAGCCGGGGTATTTCATCACAAAGCTTTTTCTCTTTATGGTACTGCTGTATGTTATTTCCGTCGAAATAATACGCAATATTCTTAGCTGGAGGTGGTTGTTTAGATGCGGAATCATATAGGCTTTTCGATCTAGTCACAGTTTTATGTCCATCCACGGGTACATCGAATCCATATACTTTAGCGGCTGGTGGTTTTGGATTACTTACTACTGGGGTAGGTTTATTAGGCTCTCTGTAATTAGGACTTGCTGCTTCTCCTAAATAATTGTTATACATGTAGCCAAAATAAGCGTTGTTTGGACTAGAACCGTAGCTTTTCGAAGTATTGTCAAATTCATAACAACTTTTACTGTTTCGCGGGATACTTGTGTTCTTCTGTTGTTTTATAGGCTTAGCTCCTTCAAATAGCATTTCTAATGGAGCGCTTTTCGTGCATTCTGAATCGTCAGAGAGCACACTCTCCAAAGAATTACAATTCGTCCTACAGAGTTGATTCTCGTTGTCTAAGAAATCGTCGGATAAGACGGATTCCTGACTGCAACTGTTCTTCATATATTTCTTTTGGTTTAAGAAGAAGCTAGCGCTGCTATGTCTGTGATTCTCCAAATACTCAGTATCAGGTATATTCTCGTAAGAACAGTTTTGCATATCGTTCAAATTGTATCGACTCCCGTCAAATTTTGCTTGTTGGAAAGCAACTTCGTTGCCGTATTTTAGGAAAATTTCATTAGAAATGCTTGAACAGTTCGAATTATCGCTTAGAACCGATTCGTTGGATCTTGTGATGCATCTTTTTGTTAGCACACTTTGGCATCTGTACATGTTTGAATTGTATTTCAGTGAGTCTTCCACGATATCGTCCAGATTGGAAGGCATATTCCTTGGTAGGGTCGAACTTTTCTGATTGGTAATGTAAGCTGGTTTAGCCGGTACAACAGGCTTTTCACTGCCGTAAATCTCATAGTTCGAAACAGCTCTTCTGGGTTGAGTTTTAGTATGTTTCTTGCAAACTTTTTTAGAATAGAGTTTATTTTTGCAACTAGCGTCCTGGCTTAGGCTGCAGTCTTCGAGAGAGTCAGACGAGAAGTTCCCGTCGTCTTTTTCCTTAGTGGGTTTCAAGTCGAGATCATCCTGACCTCTAGCCACATCATACTCATCTAAATCACCATATTTCTTAGTGATTTCTGCTATCATTTTTTCTGTATCAGATTTTATGGTGTCGACAATACTTTTCCCGTTATCTTTAAGGTTTTTATTATCAAAACCGACGAAAAAACTTAATGAATTCCTCTTTTTGGGGTCCAATGAATTGGTGTCGGATTTTTGATTTTTCTGATTGGCTTTATCAGCCCATTTGCATTCCTCTGACACGGGAGAAACGGGACAGGACTTATAGTTTTTGAAAATACTTCTAGCTGGTTTCGCCGTTTTCGGTACGGCTGGTTTTTCATCATTTTTGGTTAGATTTAGAGTGAAATTTCTTGGTTTCGGTTCTTTTTCTGGGAATAGTCTGTTGAAGACTTTAGACTGGACAGGTTTGGACATGTCTATGGTAAAAGCTAAGGGTTTTTGAGGGAGTTGTTCTTTGAAAACTAGAGGTTTTGAGTCGTAGGGGGTAAAATGAGGGTTCTTTTTATCATTATGGGTTGTTGGTATGTTCGCATGGGGTGGTACATACGGGACCACGTTATCTAAATAATCGGGGATAATTTTGTGGTTTAAGTTCGCTGGAATCGCATAGGGATTCTTGTTTCTGTAGTCGAGATAAGGGTTCAGACTGTCATAATAATTAGAATTAAGACTGTCCAGGTTCTCTTCCGGACACGGTAAAATTCCTTGGTCAGCATTGGAGAGGGAACAATTTTGTGTTTGTTAGTATATAGCGATGATAGTTCTTTATTTATATTCATAAACGCTTTTGTAAAATCAACTCTAATTTTATATATTACGGTTGATTTTCGATTGAAATTATGATGGTAAGCAACACTTGCAGAGGTTGGATATTGGATGGGTTATTTTTTTAATTTCGAAAAGCGTTTATGAATATTATTATGAAGGTCACAGGTTAGTGAAATCACACAATGTTTTTATGGTCAAAGACAATGTGAAACAAAACACTATTTGCTTCTCGCTCATTTATTAGACTGAATTAAAACTCTATATAAAAGAAAATAAGGTTTATTTAACAATTTAACTTCTGAATAATAATAATAACATATGAAACTATTGCTTTGACCATATTTTATACAGAAATTGAGCATTCGTTTCGATAAAAATAGTAACTGCTTTAACACTATAAAACCTTCGTCTGAACCGGGAATCGAACCCAATCAATAATATAACTCAAAACTTTAGATAGATATGTCGTTACTCATAAAAACCAAATGATCATTTCTCCTAACAAAAAACAAATGCCCAATCTCTTAAACACATACTAGCTTAATAACAAAGTTAAGCAGCTTACCGTAGGGCTTAGAATTGGATGGGATGGCCATGGATACGGGACGGTTGCGACGAGTGCTGTCTTTCTCGGGAATGTAAGACAGGTCTGTGGTCGACTGACTCGATTTCAGATTCGATCTGAACGCCACCTGGTGGAGAAATGAGATAATAAGATTACTTTTTTACTATAAAACGACGAAGTTTCGGAAATTATAATGTTATGTTAATGTTATTTTAAAGGACTAAGTCGACAAACGAGCAAACGGATTACCTGATGGTAAGCAATCAGCGATGCCCACAGACACCAACAACAGAGGAGTTACGAGTGCATTGCCGACCTTCTAGGGATTAGGGATTTGGAAAATTAGGTAATGGAAGAGGGGAAGTAGGTATTGGGCCTTCAGTAACCTCACTCACAGGCGAAACACAACGCTGTGGTTTTTGCACGCCGGTTTTCTGTGAGGCCGCGGTATCACTCCGGTCGAGCCGACCCATTCGTGGCGAAGCTTGGCTCTCCCACACTGCCCCTTCAGTTTGCTTAATAGTGTTTAGTGAGGTAGGTTTGGTACTCACAGTTTCCAACTGGCGACGTGTTTCGTGTATCCTGCGGTTGAGTTCCTCCCGGCGTCGCGCGGCCTCCGGGTCGAGCGCCTTGACCGGCGTCCTCGGGGCGGGGGACGGCGCGGGGCCCGACCTCGCCGCCGCCGCCGGCCCGCGGGACAGGTGCTGTGATGATAGGGACGTATTGCCTGAAAGATACATTCATTTCAATTAAAAACATTTATATTAGGGACATTAAAACGATTGGATACTTTGACAAGAGGTCTCTAACTAAAGGCATTTGGTATAAAACAATACAGCCGACGCTTCCTCGAGCTCTCTGGTTCGGTGAGGGCGGGATGAGTAGGCAAGAAATCGTCACGGCTTTAAGGCTCCGATGTGGACATATGCCTCTCAATAGTTTACCATTCATGATGCATAAAGTCGAATCACCATCATGCATAAAGTGTGATGTTGTAGAGGACGTTCAACACATTTTGTATGAGTGTCGTCGTATTGAGTCTCAGAGATATCAGGATTTTAGTTTTAACAGTTATGATATTGGTTTTATCATAGTGTGTTAGCGTCACCATTATCATCTGAGCCCAAAAAATTGTATCGTCTAATTATTTTATGTTTAAAGTTAAGAGCTAGCTAAACCTATAAAGGGTTTAATAAGTAGATAAGTAAGCACTGAATTTTGTACACAATAATAGGGCTGAAATCTTCTGTATGGAAAAAAGCCCTTTTAATAAAATAAAGATTTAAAAAAAAAAACGATTGGATAATTAATTTCCTAGGTAAACATTTCAATAAATTAATTCGACAACGTTTTAATACAAAAAAAAATGATAATAATAGTACATTATGGTACATGTGTGTATTCTTGGTTTAAATCCTAAGTGTGGGAGAGCCATGCTTCGGCATGAATGGATCGGCTCGACCGGAGTGATACCACGGCCTCACAGTAAACCGGCGTGAAACAACCACAGCGTTGTGTTTCACCGTGTGAGTGAGGTTACCGGAGACCCAATGTTTCCCCTCCCTCGGTCCCTTCCAATCCCTAAATCTCCAAATCCCTAATCCCTAAAAGGTCGGCAACGCACTCGTAACTCCTCCGATGCGGGTGTCCATGGGCGGCGCTGATTGCTTACCATCAGGTAATCAGTCTGCTCGTTTGCCGATCTATTACATGAAAAAAAGCAAAGCCGTCAGGCGAGGGTCTTAAGGAGCCAAGGACGGTAATCATCAATACACGCGTGTATCATACGACGTTAAATCTTTCAATACACTTCCGAATAAAATAATACTTAAATAAAAAACAATCAAAAGAGAAAACGAGACGATTTGTGAAAAATGTTTTGTAATGGCGGGAAAAATTAACCAGTTTTCCTATGCGCGCGCATCGGCCATAGACAAAAAAGGAGGTTTCTTTTTTTGGGGCATTTCGCGGATAGCACTTTACCGCAAGTGTAAGCTTAACACACTCGTGAGTAATAGTAATGAAATATTCACAGTTTGATTATAGTTGTCATTATGTGCTTAATACGTTAGTTTCCAACTAGTCAAATTCAATACTTTTATCCAAATGTCAAAAACGATGCTTTTCAATGAAATTTGTATGAAATACTAAGTTACGACGTCATAGTTTTTTAGCGTCAAACAGCGTACTTATTTCTTAAAAATTAGCCAAAAATATCTAAAACTTAGTGTATCGATCGATCGATGAATAAAAGTATAGTAGTTTTTCAATATTTAATTGTATTGAAACGTCGAATTAATTTATTTTTAACCTTGGAAACTACCCAATTGCCGTGGGATAAGAGCCACTTTATGAGGAAGTGTGTTGAAAAATAATTAAATAAATCAGCTTACCGCCAGTAAGAGTGGCATCCATGTCGGCTGCGCTGAGGCTGTCGAAGGCCGACTTGATGTACTTCTCCCGGCGGCCGGCCGTGTCCAGGGACTCGCACGAACCGGACAACGGGTTACGCTCCGTGTTGTCGCCTGACGGTGTCGATACCTGCGGAAAAAAACATAAATATAATATTATATATGTTATTTTCAGTTTTTTTTTTATTTGGTGATAGGTCGACAAACGAGCAATCGGATTACCCGATGATAAGCAATCAGCGTCGCCCATGGACACCCGCAACGACAAAGGAGTTACAAGTGCGTTGTCGACCTTCTGGGGATTGGGGTTTTGGAGATTTTGGGAAAGGGAACGGATTGGGGTAGGCGAAGGATTGGGCCTCCGGTAACCTCACTCACACGGCGAAACACAACTCTGGTTATTTCACGCCGGTTTTCTATGAGGCCGTGGTGTCACTCCGGTCGAGCCGACCCATTCGTGCGGAAGCATGGCTCTCCCACATTTCAGTTATCATCTTGTTGAGGAGCTAAGTTAGCAGATGACTTCTTCTTCTACCCGGGATGGGGCGAGGGAAGCAATCGGAGACTCTCAAGAGCACCAGTAATATTTAAGTTAGGAGTGCATTTTTTGTGGAGGAAAAATCATCAAATGACTTTTTCAACCTTGGGTATGGCAAGGGAGACAGAGTGTCAGAGTTTTACTGACTAAAAACCCCGGTTCCTTCTCCTGCTCTAGGCCGAGGTCGCGGTGCCTTATAGAGCTTACCCCTCCACCCCGGCTAAACATCAGCCCTATAGTGTCCCATCTGTGGTGGTCTATTTGTTTTTTTCGGCCGTAAGCTCGGGTCTGTTTCTGGTGGGGCGACAAGCTACTCTTACTCACCGACAGCAGACCAGAGACCCTCAATATTAAATCACCATATGGCTACCAGGATACTATGTAAGAACACAGCAAATACCACCTTAAACTGACCAACTGAAAGCACATAATACCTCATCATCATCAGAGTCCTGCGGTGTGCCAGTGAGCTTGGCATGTGGGGGTGGCAGTTCGAGCCTGGTCTCGCCCGTCCACCGCTTGGAGCGACGCATCGACTCACGGAGCTCATCAGCATCCATTGCATTCACCATGAACTCCCTGAAAAAAGAAATAAAATGTTATATAATTTTTTTGACTCGTATAAACTAGTGCTTAACTGCATTACTCAAAAATTCCTGAACCAATTTCGCTAATTCTTATTTTTTATGTATGTTATTGTTAGAAGAAGGTCCTTATAAGATACTATATAGCTACTGTCGCCCGGTTTCACCCGCTGCTCGGCTCCTCGGCTCCTACAGATCGTAGCGTGATGTTTTATAGCCTTCTCGATAAATGGATTAACAAACATAAAAAGAATCGTTCAATTCGGACCAGTAATTCCGGAGATTAGGGCGTTCAAATAAACGAGCTCTACAGCTTTATAATATTAATTATACTAGCTTCCGCCCGCGGCTTCGCCCGCGTGATATGCTGATAAAAAGTACCCTATATCCTATTCCGGAGTGTATACATATGTCAGTGCTAAATTTCATCCAGATCCGTCTAGCAGTTTTGGCGTAATTGAGTAACAAACATCCGAACATCGCAATTTGCAAACTTCGGCATTTATTAGTAAGGCAGTATAGATTTGTTAAGTTTAGTATAAGAACTTACCCAGGGGTCTCATCATCATTATTGCCAGGATAGTAGGTGGGCCTGTTCCCTCGTTCCGAAGACGAGGTCCTTTCACCATCAGATATATCCTCGATATCACCATCGTGTTCCGTTGACTCCTGATCCTGAAACATATGAGAGGATTGATGACAGGGTATTAAACTCCTTTTCATCATCACGTCATTATCCTATAGTGTGTGTAGTAGGTGCCCACTGCTGACCAAAGGCCTCTTCTCACACGGAGAAGGTTCGAGCATTAATCACCACGCTTGCTCAAGGCGACTTCAAACTTATAATAATTAGAAATTATAAGTCCAGGTTTCCTTATGATGTTTTCCTTCACCGTATGCCAGTGGAGTCTGAAATGAACTTAGAAAGTACATATAACTCGGAAACAGTCACATTGGTACGTGCCAGGTTTTGAAACCACATCCTCACGCATGAGAAGCGGGCGCCTTAACCTTTGGACCACCACGTCGTTCATTATTTTCATCATCATCATAGAGGCCAGAAGTGGTCTACTGCTGAACATATGATACCTTCCCAATGACTTAAGAATCATTCGGATGATTGTTGTATGACAGTAAATACACACATTACGCCTCTTTCCATCGGTCTAGGCGATATCGGCATACTTATATCGCATAATCTAGTTTTTAGTTACAAATAATATCTCCTTTACCGATTACACAAAAAAAATTGAAATATACGGTGTAATCACGTGAATCTGAGTCCCGGTGTAGCCCGAAACTTATCGAGCATTTCCCGAAAAAGTTCACATGATAATACCTTATATTCGAATTAAACAAAAACTAATTTCGATGCTGTAATTTACATTGTGTTAGTAACATATACCTACATAAAACTAAAATAAATTAATTCACAAACAAACAGAAAAAAAAACATCGCACCTCATATTTAAAACTGCCGAGCGATGAATCGTCGGTGTGGTGTCGAGTCCGAGCTTCGGGCGTGCGACTTTTCGACAAATTAATCGTTACCTAACGACGACAAATAAAAACAAACTTAAATTAAAGTAAAAAAACAAAAAACGATGTAGTTATAATTATGTTTTGATAGGTTACTTTCGTATTTTTTTTTAAATGATGCCCACCTAAATATTTCTGCCTCGTGGGTTTTTTGTGAGGGGAAAAATCATCAATTGACTTCACAAGTCGACTGCACGGTTAGTGCGGTGGCTGGGCAACTGGCTGCCGTGCAACGTGTCGCGTTTTCGATTGCCGCACGGAACAACTCTTTGTGTGTTCAACAAATTGTTGTTCTGGGTCTGGGTGTCATGTGTATGTGAAATTGTATGTTTGTAACCGCACCCAAGACAAAGAAAAAACTCTTAGTGTTGAGCAACGTTTTAAATAAAGAGATAAAAAAAGTGTCAGACTCTTACTGACTAAAAACGCCCCGTCCCTTCTCCTGCTTTAGACCGAGCGAGGCAGCGATGCTTAATTGCGCTTGGCCCACTTATCTCGTGGGTGCATTTACAAACATACAATTTCAACGACAAATCAACTCAGACTAGAAACAACAATTTGTGGATCACACAATGTGTTGTTCGGTGCGGGAAACGAACCCGCGATTCATTGCATAGCGGCCAGTTGCCCAACCACTGCGCCAACCGTGCAGTCATCATGTCAAGCATTGGTATAAATTATATTGATAAGCTCAATGGTGGAATTATCGTTACATCTAAAAACTGAGCTTAGGCTCCCGGGTTCATCCGTCAAGAATATTAACAACATTTATCAGTAAAATAAAATTGTAGAATAGGATGGCAAGGGAGAATATTGAAAAAAAAACAAACATTCTGTAATATTTAGCCTGTGTAAAAAAAACAATAAGGAAATCAAATACGCTGGTATCACCAGTTTATGAAAATAACGAAACTATCAAAACATAATTATCTTTCATCATCAAAATATATTAATATAAAAATGCATGATAATATTAAGCGTAATGTGGAAATATTCCGTCAATAAATATTATTATAAAAAATCTAACAGAATCTGTTCAATGAAAAATATTTAAATTTAAATTTGAATTTGCTGCGCGACGTTACCGCGACGCGCACGCTGCTCATGAATAAGAGTCCCGTTGTGCCTTGAAACTAGTCGAGCTTCTCTCAGTTAATTCAGATGAATACGTCGTTATTTTCAATAAATTCAGTAACACCCGGTTTCTAAAAGACTTGTTTGTCAATGCTAAAATTAACTAATCTCCTGGTAAATCTCTTGTCAAGTCATCTGATTGGTTGTTGATAATTCAGTCAACCAATCAGATGACTTGACAAGAGATTAAATTGATTTTAACATTGATCGGCCTTTCGGAAACCGAGTGTAAATCTCATAATAGTTACTATTAAAATCTTTTTATTATTTTTTTCTGAACAAAGTCTATCTGAAAATTATACACAATATTTCCTAAACACTATAAAAGTTGACTAAAAAAATTTATTGACGGAATCGTTTAAGAGATAAAATAACAAACACATTTATTTATAAGCAGACATTCAATTAACATATTATGCGAGCAACAAACAAAGCTTGAAACATGCAAATATCATGCGGTGAGTGAAAAAGAGAGTCATTCATATCTCAATGCAACCCTACATATCATTTTCATCATCAAATGACTTCTCCCGTCCAGGATGAGGCGAGAGGGAGTGTCAGACTCTTACTGACTAAAACCCCCCGTTCCTTCTCCTGCTTTAGGCCGAGGTCGCGGTGCCTCATTGCGCTTACTTCACAACCCACGCTGAATATCAGCCCTATAGGGACCCGTCAGCGACGGTTTATTTTTTTTAACTTTAATACGGTGTTTCCAACAAGTAAATTCAATACTTTTATCCAAATGTCAAAAACGATACTTTTATATGAAATTTGTATGAAAAACTGACTTATGACGTTAAATAGCGTACTTATTTCTTAATAATTAGCTAAAAAATATCTAAAACTTCGTGTATCGACCGATCGATGAATAAAAGTATAGTTATTTTTCAATTTTTGGTTGTATTGAAAAGTCAAATTAATTTATTATTGACCTAGGAAACTACCCTATTTATGACAATATTTAATTTACTAACCATAAAATGGAAATACTGTATTAGGAGTTTGAACAATGATAGCAACTACTTTTTAGCAAACTTATATTAGGTCGACTCGTAACGAAGTCTGTAAAAAATCTGAGAATCTGAATGGCACACTCTTGTAATTGTTGTACCATCTTTTTTTGTCATCAAATTATTTCTTCCGCCCAAGGAGAGGCGAGAGGGAGTGTCAGACTCTTACTAAGTTACTAACTTCAAACCCCCCCCCCCCGTTTCTTCACCTGGTTTAGGCTGAGGCTGCGGTGCCTTCGCGCTTACCCCGCAACCCCGACGTCATCGTGAAACTTGGCAATTGTGTGTGGATTAGATGACAATACAATATTATGGTACTGTTGGGCTGGTTTGATGATGGAGTTGGAAGGTCGGTGATGGAACCTTGAACCTGCCTGATGGTAAATATATCGAGTTTAGGCTCATAATATATGCCCATTTGTCTTGATGCCAAGGATATATTATATGAACAAAAACGAGTTTTTATGTTTTCAAACTAATACATTTTCAGTTTCTTTCATTACTTGAGAGCCTATATGTAAATACTTGCATATACAACCTACTTTAAAGTCTCATTGAGGTTCTATAAATCATGATATGAACTTGTATGAATAAATGCATATAATAACATCACACAAGCAAAAACAACAAGAGACGTACTAACATACAATAAAAGATGATAATTACATCACATATTGACGAGCAAAACTGAACCTTAAATACATGATAACAAGCAACGATACATAACTAGAAAAAAATTACTTCTAGAAATGAAACTAATGAAACTAACAAAAAATGATTTTCAGAAAATGACGCTAGAAAAACATCACAAAAAAATAAGCGTGAACGAAAAAAACAAAATGCAAAAAAAACATTGAAAAAAAAACCTTTTCGACCCTTGGCGATATTGTGAGTATATCGTAAGTTTTTCGCATGGTCGCATCGAAGTTTCTGAATAGGGCTTCAACGCGAGGCAGTTGCGATAAATTCAGGGATTTCGGCCGCTATTTGGCAACCAACCACCGCAATTAATTGGATTGTTGAATTTTTTTTCTCCTTTATTTTTACCCATTTCAAAAGAAATATTATTATTATTATTGAATGACGATTTTTTTACATTACTTCGACTTATCTTCGTCTTATCGATTATCCCAAAAAATCAAAAACTGATTTAGAGATTTTGGATTTTATTCTGTTTTTATTAAATCTGATATCTATACTATCAACCAGAAAAGCCGGCTACACCCAATCATAGCCATCAAAAAGTGCATTACTTATGAATTAATAGTGAAAAATATATCTGTTTTTTTTTTTTTTGTTTTCTTAAATTCTCTGAAAGATACAACATTAGTTGCTCTTACGTACTAATAATAAAAATGGCTACCTATAATTTGTCAAAAAACTGTATTTTCCACAACAAGTGAGTGCGTAAAAGATTCTTTAGATTAATAATATTATTTCAATAAAAACTCAAAGAAAACGTTATTAATTTCTACACTTGTAAGTAAAACCAAAACCAAGAAAATCGAATACAATAAAACGGTATTAAAAATCAATATTATTTTTAGTAGTAAAAAAACTCAGTTAAGTTAGGGTAAAATAAAGAAAAAAAAACACCAGTACACCATACACCAAAAATACAAGAAAAAAAAACATTAAAAAGTTAAATTTAAAAAAGAAAATATAGAAATAAAAAAGAAATATAATGGAGTTCCATTTCGGATATAAATAAAAAATAGAAAACTACAAAATGGCGTCAAACAGATAATAGATCTTTAACAAATCCCATGTTTAAATGAAACCAAATAACATAAAAAAAAAAACATTCCAAAAGAAACTTCACCATATTTCTTCTTTAAGAATTTTAACAAAAAACATGTACTGTCAACAGCAAAAGTCATAATAAAGGAAGTAAATAAAATGTCTTCAAATACCGGATATGCAATAATAGAATACTTGTCAACTATGTAGTGAAAATCTAAGGATTGGGCCAGTAACCTCACCCACACGGCGAAACATGTGGTTGTTTCACGCCGGTTTTCTGTGAGACCGTGGTATCACTCCGGTCGGAGCCGGAGCCATTCGTGCCAAAGCATGGCTCTCCCACTTTCCAAATACTTAAACATTATCTTTTTTTGTTGTCTGTACTTGAAAGGAGAAAGACAACTGAGTTTGTATCGGCATTTCTTCTCAGAGTATTCAGATAGGAAATGCTGGCTTCATCTAGTTTTTTACATATAAATTTGACGTGTAGGTGCCGTTTTATGGCCTATTTGTAAAAAACAAATACATTATAACAATGTTTCAATTAAAAATCTTTACTATAAGCTAAATAAAGTAAAACAAAAAAAAACTTTTGCTGTTACCAGTACAAACTGAAAAAAAAAACACATATAAGTGACGCCATCACAAATCTACCACCGCACCGCACACCGTATGAGTGAAACACGAACTTTAACCATTACTGTTATTTACTACACACACGCTAATTATATTATGGTTATGTCTATACTAATATTCATCTAATATCATCTCTCTAATCTAATATCATCATCGCCAGCCTATAAGTGCCCACTGCTGAAAGGCCAGATTTCCTCACGATGTTTTCCTTCACCGTATGTCAGTAGTGTCTAAATAATCATAGGAAGTACATATAACTCGGCAAAAGTCACATTGGTACTTGCCAGGTTTCGAACCCACACCCTCATTCATGAGAAGCGGGCTGCTTAACCTCCGGGCCACCACGACATTTTTACTAATATTATAAAGAGGTAAAATTTGTAAGTTTGTATGTAGGGGGTAATCTCTGGAACCGCTGGTCGGATTGCTAAAATTCTTTCACTGATACATAGCTATAATGTGCCTGAGTGCTATAGGCTATAAAACAACACGCTACGATCAAATGTAGCCGAGCAGCGGGTGAAACCGCGCGAGAGTAGCAAGTAATTAATAAAGGCCTTTATTGGAGGGGGGGGGGGGGGGGACATCAAATGACTTCTCTGTGGTGATGAGGCGAGATGGAGTGTCAGACTATATTACTGACTGAAAACCACTCCGTTCCTTCTACTGCTATGAGTCGGAAACGTGGAACATTATTGTGGAATTTTCATTGGACCCTATACTTTAAAACGAGTTTCACTAGAGGACTGACCGACAAACTGTCATTTTTGATGTTTTAATATTTCGACTTAGAAAGGCCAAAAAAAAAATCTCTCTGCCTTTTACAAATTGTCATTTCGTGAATGTAGTTCTACTTCTTTTATTCATAGGAACAGTAAATTTGCAAAATATTACTTCTGCCAAACTATAAAGCAGTTTGTATAATACATATATATTTATAAAAAAATAATGATTTAAAATCATCGACAAAAAAATGTCCTAACTGAAAGTCCACCAAACTCAACATCGCGGTGTAGTTTTAGTTTAGTACCACTCGAATGCTCCGACGGTAAACACGCCTCAGTGCTCGTTTAAAAACTGCAAAAAACATACATCTAAGACGCAAAAAAGGATGGAATTTCATATTTTCGTTAAGTAATAATATTATCATTATATAATTGTCATCATTCTATTTTAAATATTGATATTTTATTAAGAAATTAATTTTAAAACTTTTTCCAAATGAATACGTATTCAAAAACCGGGGTTATAATGCACACAGTTTATAAAGACACTTATACTAAACGTAAAATCATTCTCTAGCATGACCACTTAAGTTGTTCGGTTTACGTGGATTGATTCTGTTCCGTTTAGCGGAGACGCTATTGTTTCTAATTTTATTTATTGTTTTTTTTTTATTAAAAAATAGTTTTTATTTAATATTATACTTCTTTACTGTGTTTATTAAGATATGGAATAGGCAGATATAATGGATTTAATTTTAACTGCAGTAAAGACATTTTTTTTAGCTTTCATCAAAATCCCGTGCGATATGAAAAATTGACAACAATAAGTCCAACATTTTCAGTACTTACTTTAGATATATCTTTAAATAATAAAAAGAATATATTATATTCTTTTTATTATTTTACATCTTTTTTATTTGACTTCGAATTTGGAATATTTTTCAAAGTATACATATATACTTTGAAAAATATTCCAAATTTAGGAAGGAATAAGGAGGACGAAAATAATAAAAAAAAATTATAACTATATGCATTAGTTTCATTGGTAAATAAATGAACAAACCTATAGAAAAGGCGCATATGCGTTTTAATTTTCGTATTTCTTTTTTATAAATTATCAAAAAAATTTGAAAGAACTATATTTCTTACGAGACATTTCGACTCCAATCATTCTTTGTCCTAGCGGTGAGCCGAAGTCGTTAAATTTTATTGCTCATTTTTGACACATTGTAAATTCGACTTAAAAACATGCGAATATGGTTCAATTTCTTATGATTTATGCAAAAAAATGTTTAGATTTTGTATATCACTTTGTGAAAACAACTCTATGAGTTGCATTTAAGGTTTAATTTACATTAATGCATGTTTATTTCAAGTATAAGTACCTAAATACAGTTGACGACAGTTTTGAAGCGAACTTTTGTATGGGATTGTGTATCTAGTTCTTTATTAGTGATCGATGTTTAAAATACAATAAAGAAGTGGTTGGATGAGAAGAGCTGAACATCAAGCACAGTGGTGTGCAATTGGGGAGACCTACGTCCAGCAGTGGACGACAACAGGCTGATGATGAAAGAGTTTTCATTACATAACCATAATATACGATAATCTCCAGCGTGTGTTTTACATAAAATAGAATAGTGACTATGTAGGCTTCATTAAACTCATATAAGAACCAAAATATCTTTTTACAAAGACATCAAGTTTTTACTTTGATTCTATAACATTTATATACTTTTAGGCAATGTCATTACAATCAATTTTGAATTAACGCCCGGTTCTGAAAGGCTTATCAACGCTAAAATTAACTAATTTCCTGTTAAATCTCTTGTCAAGTCATCTGATTGGTTGTGTATAATTCAGTCAGCCAATCAGATGACTTGACAAGAGATTAAATTGATCGGCCTTGGGAAACCGGGGGTAAATCTTTGTATGGATACCCTCACCACGTGTCCTCTCCAAGGAGGTTAATATAATAGGTAATTAAGTAATAATCACCTCATAGTCACATTAACTTTGTATAAACTTCACAGCTATTTGGTATACTGGTAAGAAAAAAAAAACGAATCAATACAGAGCCAATAGGTATTGATAAATTATAAGGCATACCTACTGATTTACGTGTCTCTTAAACATTTGTGAAAACAAGTCACGAAATGTGTCGAATATTGGCTTGAAGTATGAAATTTAAGTCTTTTTTGTGTAATGGGTCGGCAAACGAGCAGCCGGATTACCTGATGGTAAGCAATCAGCACCGCCCATGGATATCATACTTATTTTGGAAAAAAATAGCTAGTAAAAAATCAATATTAATAAAAAATAATAGTGAAACCTTTTTTTATATATCTACTATCAAATTTTATCGTTTAATAAAGACATTTCTATTGTTACTAAAGGTAAGCTCGGTAGCCAAACAATAGTTATTGTCTATATACTTAATCTAACTTTATTTTAGTACCTATATACCAAATAACTGTGAAGAATATACTACAGATAAAAGTAGCCAAAGACGAGAAATATAAACGTCATCCGCAAAGAGTTAAAATTATAAGCCCCAGTGTGGCTTGAAAATAATCGAGCATGCTCGAAAAGTTAATAAAATTTCTTTACAATGCTACTGAGTTACTTTATAAGAAAACTTCATCCATACCAAAAAACAATGGCTACAAATATCGACGTTACTTATATTTAAATATAAATAAATAAATATATACATATATATAAAACTAACCTGTTTGATTCCGGTTTGATCTTTCCGTTTTTCTATATATCGTGTGTCCGTGCCACTGTCCAGTGAGCTATCCTTAGATCCGTCTGAATCGCCGCGTTTTTCTGAAAATATAAAAATAAAAGTCAAATCGGCACACACAATTACAAGGCAGTTGAAAAAAAAACGTTATCTATAATAATAATACTAACGAGCAACCCATACCCATAACTCTATAAATTTTTACCACATTTCACAATAGTCCTGCATCAACTGGAGATTATCCCATCACATTTAGATTAAAACTGTTCAACGGGCCTCGGCGAGTTGACTTCGGTCCGTCATCCGCCTTCCAAAGGTCAATGATCCTGTGGTCCCGTGAATGGAAAGGAACATACTAATGCTTACCGGTATTAGGATTGATCCTAGTGGCCCATTTGCCTCTTGCGGGCGGGTCTGGCGCGGGCGTATCTCCGGCCGGGGCCTCATCGCCCAGGCTCTTCTTAGCCCACGTCGGAAGCCGGCCGATACGAAGACTGAAATCGCATATTTTAAATTTAAGAAAATATTAAGATATTTGTAATAAAGCCAGCAACGCACTCGTAGCTCTTTTGGTATGTGTCCATAGGCGCCGCTGATTGCTTACCATCAGGTTATCCCAGCTCGTCTGCTAATCTACTTAAGCCGTTTTTTTATTATTACATTTAATATAGAGATAGAGGATACACAGATCTCTCTATACTTCCCTCAATCACATCCCCAGACCCCCAGACCCAGAATCCCAAACGTATCTAATTCGTAAACACACTTATAATTATAATAATAGCGGCTCGGTTGCCTCCTTATCCCAAGGAAAAAAGTTAGCGCAATTTTGCGCAAGAAAGCGCATATTTGCGCAATTTTGCCTAAGTATTACCAACAATGGCTTGTGATCGTCCATCGCAGAACTATGAAACTTCCTTTAACCACTTGTTGACACGCACGTTGACCATAAGACTCCCATTGCGATTTGAAACTTTTCTCAGTTAAGACGAGAGTAAGGCGTTATTTCCAATAAATTTTATTACACAAAAGAATACCCATAAAATATTAATTGAACATAAATCTATACTAATATTATAAAGAGGTAAAATTTGTAAGTTTGTATGTAGGGGGTAATCTTTGGAACCGCTGGTCGGATTGCCAACATTCTTTCACTGATAGATAGCTACAATATTCCTGAGTGCTATAGGCTATAAAACATCACGCTACGATTAAATGAAAACGAGCAGCGAGTGAAACCGCGCGAGAAAAGCTAGTTATATTACATTTATGTAATAATAGTTGGCATTGGTTTGTAAGCTTTTCTATTATTAATTTGGTATAACCACTTACGTATAATCAGGCACGACCGGGGTTCCGAACTTGTTCTCCTCGAAGGGCAGCTCGCGAGGGGGGGAGCCGAAGTGGGAGTCACTCTCGCTGTCCAGCCCAGACATACCGTTGCTAGCCGTTGATACTTTCCTGGGGAAATAATAATGATGAAGTAATTAGAAACTTAATCAAATTCAATACTTCTTTTCCAATTGTCCTAATTGACAGTCCTGTGAGTAATAATCCCCCGACCCATCTTTAATCCCGAGCGTACGGCGCGTAACGTTCCGCGCGCGCCTCAAAGAGCAAATAGACCACCACAGACGGGGCCCTATAGGGCTGATGTTCAGCCGGGGTTTTTTTTTTATGTAATGTCTCGGCATACGAGCAGACGTATTACCTGATGGTAAGCAATCAGCGCCGCCCATGGACACTCGCAACGGAGGAGTTACGAGTGCGTTGCCGACCTTTTAGGGATTAGGAATTTGGAGTTTTAGGGATTGAGGAGGGATTGGGGAAAGGGAAGGATTGGGCCTCCGGTAACCTCACTCACACGGCGAAACACAACGCAGTGGTTATTTCACGCCGGTTTTCTGTGAGGCCGTGGTATCACTCCGGTCGAGCCGACCCATTCGTGCCGAAGCATAGCTCTCCCACACTTGTGGGCTGCGGGGTAAGCGCAATGAGGCACCGCGACCTGGGCCCAGAGCAGGAGAAGGAACAGGGGGGTTTTTAGTCAGTAAGAGTCTGACACTCCCTCCCGCCCGGCCCTGAGCAGGAGAAGTCATTTGATGATTTTCCCCTCACAAAAAAAACCCCCATCTTTAATCCTAAAATCCCACATAGCCCACACGGCAACACAAATAAAAGGTACGTGCCTATTAAATAAATCCAGTAAAACAATAAAGTATTAATATGCAACGCGAAAGGTTAAATTCCCTAATAAAGGACAAGAGGCCGGCAACGCACTTGTAGTATAACTCTTTTGGTATTACATGTGTCCATGGGCGTCGCTGATTGCTTACCATCAGGTAATCCGTCTAAGTGTGGGAGAGTCAAGCTTCGGTACGAATGGGTCGGTTCGACAGGAGTGATACCACGGTCTCACAGAAAACCGGCGTGAAACAACCTACAGCGTTGTGTTTCGCCGTATGAGTGAGGTTACCGGAGGCCCAATCCCTCCCCTTCCCTATCCTTATATCCGGAACCCCTATCCCCATAAGGCCGGCAACACACTCGTGACTCCTTTGGAGTTGCTGGTCTCCAAGGGCGGCGCTGATTGCTTACCATCAGGTAATACGTTTACACGTTTGCAGACTAATTTCTTAAAAAAATATGGGCTTTTGTATGAAATAAACATTATTATATTCTTTTCTATTAGTAGGCAGACGATGTGAGAGAAGGGGTTGTGTATACATACTTGCCCTGTCGGATGGCCTGCTGGGCGAGGCGGGCGCGCATGGTGACCACCATGTCGTGGGGGACGCGCCACACGAAGATGCAGCCGTCGCCTGACGCTGAGATCAAGTGCTGGCAGTCCGGGGTGAACCTGGGACACGACAATCATGAATTAATACATACAATTATATTCTATTCAACGTTATGTTGCTGTTTTAGTTTTAGTTTTAGTTGATGTATAATGGAACAGGCTAATATTATTAATTATTATTCTGTCTGTCATTTTTATTATTTCTATACCAACAATATCTGTTAGTTGGCAGTTACTATGGGGAACTTCTGTATTTGCACCCCGGCTGAACATCAGCCCTATAGAGCCCCGTCTGTGGTGGTCTATTGGCTCTTTGAGGCGCTCGCGGAACGCTACGCGCCGTACACTCACACAGACATTGAGGCGCCCCATATAGGGCCATAGATCGCAAGATCTCCATGTACAACCTCCGGCGGGAGGCGTTTGGCCCCCCAGGTTGAATAGGAGCCGCTTGAGCGCGGCTCCAATCCGTTCCAAATTGGAACGGACGGATTGTAAAGTCCCAAAACTAGGAACCCTTATGGTTTCGACATGTCTGTGTATCTGTCTGTCCATCATGTACATCAAACACACCGACAAAGTGGTAAACACTTTGGAATGAGCAAATAGCTTCACTAGAGGATAGAAGAGAAATCTTTTTATGTTTCTCTGTATACACGCGTTACACTGTTCTCACATAATCAAACCAACTAAATAATGTATCAAAGAATCTGTATATGACACTGATTTAAAAAGAGTAACCATGGAGTTTCTTGCTCGTTCTTCTCCATCGGAATCTACACTTTGGAACGAGCGAATAGCTTCACTAAGAGGACTGACCGACAGACTGACACTTTGTATCTTTAAAGTTGTGTTGACGTTCAAAAGTGCCTGTATGGGTCTAATTGAAATAAATGATTTTGACTTTGACTTCGAACAGACTGACACACACAAAGTTGAACTTTTTGATATTTACTTTTTGTTTGACGTTTTAAAGTGCCTATTTAAAAGGTCTTTGACTTACACCCGGTTTCCGAAAAGCCGATCAATGTTAAAATCAATTTAATCTCTTGTCAAGTCATATGATTGGTTGTTGATAATTCAGTCAACAGATAAACAGACAAGAGATTTGACACCTAGTTAGTTGATTTTAACATTGATCGGGCTTTCGGAAACCGGGCATTTGACTATAATACTGACTTGAGTCCGGTGACAATCTCGGAGTGTCCGTACATGGTGGCCATGCACTCCCCGGAGTAGTAGTCGTACACGCTGAGGATCTTGTCCGTGCTGGAGGTCGCTAGGTAAATACCGCTGTTGTCTAGGGCCACCTGTCGGCAAATATGAAGGATAATAATAATAATGAAACAGTTTATTATTTTGCGAACCACAGCTTTTACATGTCAACATTATATTTATTTATTTTTATTTATACACTTTATACAAAGGAATGTACAGGCGGACTTAATGCCTTAGGCATTGTCTAACAGTCGACCTTCAGGTGGTTGAGAGATGAGAGTGGAGTGGATTATACATGAAAATTTGTTTTAGAAAACATTGCACCAAACTTGCATTGTCTCCTTTGTCGTGGGTGCGTTTATAAACATACTATTTAACATACATATCACACACAGACCCGGAACAACAATTTCTGGATCGCAAAAAGAGTTATTCCGTGCGGGGATCGAACCCGCGACACGTTACACGGCAGCCAGTTGCCCAGCAACCCGTGCAGTCTGTGCTTACCATCAGGTAATCCAATCTGCTCCATGCTGCGATTACATAAAAATTCTAACGGCCTTATTACAAAACAAAGTTTTTTTTTACTAATCGGCGAAAATCGGCGTGAAACAACCACAGCGTTGTGTTTCGCCGCGTGAGTGAGGTTACCGGAGGCCCAATCCTTCCCCTCCCCCGATCCCTCCCCAATCCCTAAATCTCCAAAACCCTAATTCCTAAAAGGTCGGCAACGCAATCGTAACTCCTCCGTTGCGGGTGTCCATGGTCGGCGCTAATTGCTTACCATCAGATAATCCGCCTGCTCGTTTGCCGACATATTAAATTAAAAAAAATCAATAAAGTTTCAGTTTACCTTTATAAGGGTCCCGTCTTCAGCGGTGGTTCCTCTGAAGGTCTTCGTATGTCGTCCATGGGCCGCGCTGTAGACCCTGACGTTTCTGTCCTGGCAGGCTGTGAGGATGTGTCTGCCCCCCGCGTCCACCTCCATATCGTAGAGCGTCGTACGACCTGATACATTCTGGCCGCGTTGGAACTGATAGCCGCCATCTTGGGTCTGAAATAGAAAAAAAAAATATAATTTATAGTAATATTATAAAGAGGTGAGGTCTTAACTGTAGGTTTGTATCTAGGGGGTAATCTTTGGGACTGCTGATCGGATTTCCAAAATTCTTTCACTGATAGATTATTACAATATTCCTGAGTGCTATATGCTATAAATTATACATTAATTAAGTTTTGATTAGTTTAGTCGAGCTATTGCTTTAAACGCCGCTGGTTTATTTATCCCGGGATATATCACCTTACGCGTACAAAGCCGAAAACTTTAGAATAATAATAGCAAAATTAAACAAAACAAAAAAAAAAGTTGTGAAGAAACCTGCGACACGCACCAACCGTCATCATTTTACTTTCTCCTTAAGCGCATGTTGCGCAAAGTTTAGCGCAAAACTTGCGCAAATAACCAATTCATTTTATTCCAAATTTCTAACAATTACATGAAATACTCACATGTCTAAGTTGCCTAAACAGTATAGTTTTGTCGGCACCACACGAGACCATCTGCAGACCAGCTCCAGAGCTGAGGAATCGAACTGCGGTAATAGAGGACGAATGCTCGTCCAGTGTTTGCATTATTTGGTAACCCTGGAAGAAGAAAAAGTTAAAATGTAGATTAGTATTAAGAACAACAAAAAACTCCATCGTTAGGTATTCTTTAAAAATGGTACCAAGGGTGACTTTGTTGAAACTGATGATGATGATGATAGATAGATAGCTATGTTTGTATAAGAAGAATGTAAAGTTATACTGTAACAAATGACTATCTTTGAGACCTAATCATAGTTTTTTTTAATTAAACAGAATGCCTAATGTTCGGTTCAATCACCGAACAATAAGAATAGTCAGCGTAATCGCGACACCGCGCTATATGTATTGAATATTTTATGTATCACCCAAGTAAAATAATTAGAACGTAATTCGGCGACATACCGTGCGCGTGAGCCATTTTTTTTATGTAGTTGGTCGGCAAACGAGCAGACGGATTACTTGATGGTAAGCAATCAGCGCCGCCCATGGACACCCGCAACGGAGGAGTTACGAGTGCGTTGCCGACCTTTTAGGGATTAAGGATTTAGAGATTTAGGGATTGAGGAGGGATTGGGGGCGCGGAAGGATTGGGTCGTAATCCCATATCGTTCACCTTTCATGCTAGTATAATTTAATCTTAATCTTATATTTTTGGAAACAGAAAATACAGTGAATTTATTAATCTTAAACGGACTTACATCTCTTATCTCAATCTCTCATGCTCACATTCCGGCTTCATCTAGTTTTTCACATATGTACGTGTAAAAGTGCCGTTTTATGGCCTATTTTCAAACATAAATTCGTTGTTTCATTGTTTCTCCTCAAGCCTGAACACCTAGTGCGTGTTTGCTTTATGTTGAGGCTTTCGTTTATGACGTTAGCCGCTCTGATTGGCCTTCGCCTTAACCTCCGTGGTAACAAATCAAAAAGATGGCTAAATAAGAAATGTACACATTAAACGCGGTTTCTGGAAAACCGTGCAACATAACTTCAGTACGGCCGACGTATCGAGTCTGAAGTTAGCCGTTTGTCTGCGCAATGGATGTTTTAGGAACAAAATTGTGTACTGCGCAGCTACTCGGCTAACTTCAGACTCGCCAAGATACAACGGCCGTATTGTAACTTGAGTTTAATACCCGCACGGAACAAGTCTTTCTATGACCTAAAAATTGTTGTTCCGGGTCTGGGTGTGATGTGTATGTTTGTAAACGCACCCACGACATAGGAGAAAATCCTAGAATAAGGCAATTTTTTTTTAAACTAACGTTTACGTAGGTCTAGATAACATAAAGCAAACTCACGCTAAACCCTATAATCATTTTAAATTATAATCTCCAACCACCTTGCCATAGTATAAAGAGAATAGGTAGTAGGCTATCTCCGGCCCAATCCGCGATATAATTGCCTACTGTCTTAGGGTTGTCACTTTTAGCAAAATTTTTAATTCAGTGCCTATAAATTGGCAAGGGTCGGGAAGTTGTATTTTTTACTTGTATTGTCTAGGTACAGGGTTTGTGAGGTGTGACTCTTTATGTCGCTAGATGGCACAGGCGGTAACATAGATTAAGAGCTAGTGTTCACATTATTTTCTCTTTGTATTTTTTTTAGGCATAATGTAGTATTTTTACACGTAATGGACCATATCATTTTTTAATTAATACACAGCTATACATTATCATACATTTTGTTTTGATTTAGCGGTGCCGAAAAACAGTGACGCGCGAACCTTGTGCAGTGTTAGCCCCGACTGGCGCACTGAGAAACGGGTCGAGATATTGTTACAGTGTGCGTGCGTTGACGCGTAGATACTATGGCGCACACATACAAGCCGCGCGCGGTGCGTTTGTATAAAGATAACCTACTTCCCTTCTCTTTATACCATGGCCTTACAGTGGAGATAACGCCAACTAGAATTACTCACCCGATCAACTTGAAAGACATGTATGAGCCTGTCCCTGGATGCTGAAGCCAGCAGCCTGGGCCGGGCACTGTACTCCAGACAGAGGACCTCTGCATCATGAGCCTCGAGGGTATGGAGTAGGGTCCCGCTGGACGCGTGCACCCAAACATTGCCGGCGCGGTCTCCGCACGCTATATGCTGGCCGTCTGGGGATACTCGGACGCATCTATGGGAGAAATTTTTTTTTTTTATGGTATAAATCGGCAAGCGAGCAGACGGATTACCTGATGGTAAGCAATGGGCGCCGCCCATGGACACCACCAAACGAGTTATGAATGCGTTGCCGGCCTTTTAGGGATAGGAGTTGCGGATATAAGGATCGGGAAGGGATAGGGGAAGGGGAGGGATTGGACCTCCAGTAACCTCACTCACACGGCGAAACACAACGCTGTGAGTTGTTTCAGGCCGGTATTTGAACCATTTGTGCCGAAGCATGGCTCTCCCACATTTAGTGATAACTATCTTAACTGGATCACGATTTTATGGAATAGGTCGGCAAACGAGCAAAGGCATTACCTAATGGTACGCAATCGACGCTGTTTAAGGAAGCTCGTTAGTCAACTTATTCTATACAAAAATATATCTCATGTCTCATAAATGACTTACAACGCATCAGAAAGTTCAACAACCATCAAAAAACTTTGTTAAGATTACGTATATTATATGACATAATTATAATATTTAGACAGTGGTACATACCTGACTCCAGTCTTATCATCGTACGATTTAGATTTGTCCTTATCATTTGTAGCCGTGAGGTCAACGTCCTTGAGGAATTTCAGCTCAGGATCTATGTAGAATACTTTGTTGAGCTCCTGAAAACAAAAACAATACATTTTAACTTTTAGCAGACAGATGAAATTTTGGCTAGAAAGAATGCTTGGTGGTATTAAAGCCCACCTCCATGTACTTTGTGCATAAAGGAAAATAAATGAAAATAAAAACATTGAATTTATTTTTTGCAAATAAGCCATTAAATGGCACTTTTACACGTCCAAATATATGTAAAAAACTAGATGAAGCCGAGATAATCAGACATGTCTTATAATAAAGTCAAAGTCAAAGTCAAGATCATTTATTCCAACTAACCCATAAATAGGTACTTTTAAAACGTATAAACGGAATTATGGCTATAATCTATACTAATATTATAAAGAGGTAAAATTTGTAAGTTTGTATGTAGGGGGTAATCTTTGGAACCGCTCGTCGGATTGCCAAAATTCTTTCACTGATAGATAGTTACAATGTTCCTGAGAGCTATAGGCTATAAAACATCACGCTACATTCAAATTGGAGCCGTGTAGCGAGTGAAAAATTGCCGAAATAGCTAGTTTATTAATAAACCCAGGTTTCGGAGTCCAGAGAACGATTTACTTTTCTGGAATTTTCAATTCAGTATTTAGATTGGATTCTACACTTTCCCGTTTAAATAAATAACATTAAACGGAATAAATTAAATATAATAAATATGTTACGGATCAATCCCGTACCCTCACGCCCACGTGAGAGAGAAAAATTACAAACAAGAAAATTAGGTACAACTTATATGGAAAGTATGCACAGCGCAAAAAGGCCAAGTGCTCAGCTAAAATGCCGTGACCCGAAAGCAATAACTCGAGTCGCGGCGCTGATTTTCAGCACTAGCCCGTCACTACAATAATAATATTAGATATACAGGGTGTAAAAAGACACTTAACGAAGTCGAAAGCCACGTATTCTACCCATTATTTGGATCGTTTTTTTCTTTAAGACCATAGCTGGGACTTTACGGGTTCTCGAGATATTGTCGGTCAAAGATGCATTTTTTTTGCGCAATCGAATTTTCGATTTTTCTAAATAATTTACGCATTTGAAGTAACGAACAGTAATGTACGTAATAAATAAAGGCAGACCCGCACAAAAAACATCGTGCATCTCAGTAGGATTTTTTTTTACAGAATTGTTTTGTTGTTGCGATGTAAAACGTCGACCTACGTACTTATCACAGCGTTTTAATGCTAAGCTGTGAACCTACGCACACAGTGACACGAAGCCCGTTTGCTTTACATTGCGCGCAATAACTTTTTTTTTTTGGTACCCAAAAATAAAAGTCGTTTCCCAGTGATAATTTTAGCGTAAAGCTACTTAGTTAGAACTGCAGTATGCGTAGTTAACGGCTTCGTTAAGTGTCTTTTTACACTCTGTATAATATGAAAATACATAATTGCTATACAAAATTATTTTTAGTGTAATAGTATTGTTAAGTGCCTGACGTCACGTTCCTAACTATGCGGGCTTGGGTTACGGGATTGGATGAAATTAAACACTAATACCGGTTTTCAGACTTTCTATTGCACTTAAGTGACAGCGTCCACGGATACGGATAAGTTATCGGCGTTCCTCTCCAGCAGAGTCCGGCCGACTGACACAACTTTGCCGTTCACTGTTCACGCTGACTTAACTCACTTAACTGACTGCACTTCACTATTTCACTGTACTTCACTATTTCACTCACTTTTCTTCTTTTCACTTCTTCCTTTTCTTCCGAATCGCTTTGGACTTAGAACTCAACTGCCAGCGGTGAGCCGCAGTTCCGCTTATATACCCCCGGTCAGGTTCTAGAACATTCAATTTCGTTATTCTTTTTGATCGTCATGCCTCCAGAACCTTCCAATAATTTCGTTATTCATTTTTATTTATTCTCCTTCTCGCTCCTTAATTTTTCATTACTTTCACTCAAATATTCCAGAAAGTTCGACAAAACTTCCATCAACTAAAAAACTTCATGTTTACGGCGGGACTCGAACTCGGGGTCTCTGTGGTGTAATCCACACGCCTTACCGATTACACCAACTCTTGTTGACAATTCACGACGAAATTTACAATCTCTAGGCAACGTTTGACAACCATCCATTGACGTCATGATGTCAAAGAGTTTTCTGTCACAGTATATTAAAAAATATAGCATGAGTACATACATTGCTGTATATGTTGGGCGCGGCGGGCGCGAGCTGCCAGCGCCGCACGGTGTCGTCGCTGGAGCACGACAGGAACGCGCCCCCCTCCATGTCCACCCCCCATATACACGCCGAGTGGTACAGCGCAGAGTGAGACTTGCCCACCTGGAAATGATAACGAAATATATTATTCTTAAATTAATAGCTTAAAAAGTGAACAAGCCATGCTTTAGCAGGAATAGGTCGCTTTAACCGGAGCATATATTACTCCTCACGAGACTCACAGAAAACTATGAGTAAGGATAGCGGAGACCCAATTCTACTACCTCAATCTCCGAATCGCCAAACTCCAAAAGGTGGTCAACGCATTCGTAACTGCTCTGGTATTGCGAGTCTACATGGGCGGGGCCAATTGCTTACCATCAGGTAATCCGCTTGCTCGTTTACTGACAAAAAAACGTTAGTTGCTTAAACGCTAACCCCTTCTTTTAGTTAAGTCTAGGAGAGCCATGCTTCGGCACGAATGAGCTTGGCGGTTCTAAAGACCACGGCCGCACAGAAAACTAGCGTGAAACAACCACAGAGTTGTGTTTCGCCGTGTGAGTGCGGTTACCGGAGGCCCAATTTACTCCCGCCCTTCTCACTAAATCCCGAAAAAGCCGGCAATGTACTCGCAACTGCACGGTTGGCGCGGTAGCTGGACAACGTGTCGCGGGTTCGATTCCCGCACGGAACAACACTTTGTGTGATCCACAAATTGTTGTTCCAAGTCTGGGTGTGTTGTGTATGTGAAATTGTATGTTTCTAAACGCACCCACAACACAGGAGAAAATCCTAAAGTGGGGCAACGTAATTTTTCTTTAAGAAAAAATTAGGTTAGTTCTCTTCCTGGGTGGTTACACACGGAGCCGATTGCTTACCATCAGGTAATCCTGCTCATATGACACTGATACATACCCGCTTGATGTCCCTGACGTCCCAGACGTAGAGGCTGTGATCGTTGTAGACACAGGTGAGCTTGTGGTTCCGTTCGTCGTACGTCAGCGCCACCGCGTCCGGGTACCGAGCGTGGGGGGGCTGACTGAACATGTGGCTGGGGGGGAGACATATAAAATTTTACTTTATCTATCCTTATTTCAGTATACGGTTGTTTCCAACTAGTCAAATTCAATACCTACTTTTATCCAAACGTCAAAAACGATACTTGTCTATGAAATTTGTGTGCAAAACTGAGTTATGACGTCATAGTATTTTTGCGTCAAATAGCTTACTTATTACTTAATAATTAGCTAAAAAATATCTAAAACTTAGTGTATCGATCGATCGATGAATAAAAGTTTAGTTATTGAAACGTATTTTATGGTATTGAAACGTCGAATTAATTTATTTTTGACCTAGGAAACTATCCAGTACGCAGATTTGTGATCTATGCTCGAGACGATATACATATATATACGATTCAAATTTTATGATGGCTCTCATCATTTGTTCTTTTTTTTATCAACTCGTATCTGCATTGTTCTCATAAAAGGGTACAATAATATATACTACTAACACCCGGTTTCTGAAAGGCTTGTCAACGCTAAAATTAACTAATCCCCTGTTAAATCTCTTGTCAAGTCATCTGATTGGTCGTTGATAATTCAGTCAACCAATCAGATGACTTGACAAGAGATTAAATTGATTTTAACATTGATCGGCCTTTCGGAATCCAGGTGTAATTTATGTACAATACCGCCAACGTATCTTGGCCAGTCGAAGTTAGCCGATTAGCTGCGCAGTACACAATTTTGTTCCTAAAAGATCCATTGCGCAGACTAACGGCTAACTTCAGACTCGCCAAGATACGGCGGCCGTACTGTATTAGTGACATTACTCACCCCTTCCAACGTAAGATTTGACTCGACCCTCTCCCCCCTTAAAGTATTTTATATGACCCCCTTAAGAGCTAGTAATAATATAATTATGACCGAGCGATCTGTTATATCCCCGACATGTAAGGGTTTATGCTGAGACCGTGTTACGTCATCACTACAATAACTAAATGCAACGTCATCATTACGATAATTTAATGCAACGTCAGTAAACACATCCAATGTAAAGATTGCCTGCCAGTTCCCTGGCAGTCTGAGAAACATCTCCTTACGGAACGGTCGTCTATTGTCCGTAATTACTATTGTCCTTAATATTTGTTACTATTGTCCTTTTTATTAATAAACCAATTAATTTGTGTTTAAAAATCTTTTTTAAAAAGTTTCTAAAAAGGACTCCCGTAACAGATCGTACGTCTTATTATTTATCTCCATTTATTAAAGAAACCTCACCTAATATTAGTTCCAAGTGCCACATCAACGCCAAGGTAATGTGTCCTGGGCAGCGTGGTGATGTATTGCAGGGTGTCGGGGGCGAAGCACCGGACTATGCCCTCGGCGCACCCGACGAATATGTAGTTCGAGCCTATCGCCATACAGTTCGCTGAGGTAGTCTGCGGATATAAAAAAAATAACAAAATTAATTTCTTAAATCAACCCTCGTGCCATCAGTCATTCCATATGGACCCGTGATTGATGAAGAGTATTGTATTATTTTATTTATTTTAAAATAACGTTGCCCCACTTTAGGATTTTCTCCTGTGTTGTGGGTGCGTTAACAAACATACAATGTCACATACACAACACACCCAGACCCGGAGCAACAATTTGTGGATCACACAAAGTGTTGTTCCGTGCAGGAATCGAACCCGCGACACGTTGCACGGCAGCCAGTTGCCTAGCCACCGCACCAACCGTGCAGTAATTAATATGCAAACTATCAAAACTAATATTATAAATGCGAAAGTTTTGTTTTTACATCATTACCACATACATATCACACCCAGACTCGGTACAAAAGTTGGTGGATTATACAAAGAATTGTTTTGTTCGGGAATCGAAGCCGCGACACGTTGCATGGCAGTCGGTTAGGTAGCCACAGCACTAACCGCGCAGTCGAATATTTATATTACATTTTATTATTAACTAGCTTTCACCCGCGACTAAGTTCGCGTGGTATAGTGACTCCCTGCAGATTTTTGGTATAAAAACTATCCTATGTCCTTTCTCAAGTTCCGAACTATGTCTGTACCAAATTTCACACAAATAGGTTCAATAATTTAGGCATGAAGAAAGACAGACAGACAGAGTTACTTTCGCATTTATAAAATTAGTTTGATTAAGGGAATAGTCGTTCGGTTTTTGACCTATTGGACTGCCTTTGTGGAGTAGCCTTCGGGCCCTCGTACCATCACTATATTGTCGCGTGATTGGTAAAGAAATACCGCGCATAATATTATAGTGCATGCTGTGCTTTTCAATAAATAATGGAGCACTTAGAATTAAATTTGTAATGTACAAATTATATAGTATAATGTACTCATTGCTGAGAAGCCTAAAATAAATAAATAACACACAGAAATAATATAGCACTTACCCTAAGCTCGACCCACTTGTCGAGTAGTCGTCGGCTGTTGAACTCGCAGAGCAGGCCGCCCCGCGTGATGCAGTACGTGCTGTCCCCGGACGCGCCCCGACCGCACACGACGTCGCAGAACTCGTTGTCTTTCTGCTCGCCTAGTATCGCCGACCGTCCCATTAAAGGCACTGGTTCTTTGAACTGGAAATAAAAGTGTTTAATTAATTACAATTATAACACTATACAGTTTAAAATGTTAGAAAAGGATTTTATTTTTTATAATAATAACTAGCTAATCTCGTTTCACCCGCTGCTTGGCTCCTACAGATCGTAGCGTGATGTTTTATAGCCTATAGCACTCGGGAACATTGTAGCTATCTATCAGTGAAAGAATTTTGGCAATCCGACTAGCACGTCAATTCTATTAAATTTGTTTGAATTTGAATCGTGTTCGAGTGCAAAGTGAGAGATAAAGTATGAGATGACGTTAAAAGTGGCATTCTAAAATTTAATTTACCCGTCATTTCGACGTTCACTTTGCACTCGAACACGATTCAAAATCAAACAAATTTTATAAAATCGACGTGCAGCGCGGCAGCGGTTCCAAAGATTACCCCCTACATACAAACATACAAACTTACAAATTTTACCTCTTTATAATATCAGTATAGATTAATTATAAGTCCAGATTTCCTCACGATGTTTTCCTTCACCGTATACCAGTGGTATGGTCACAATAAGAATAATATAATTAAAAAACAAGGCGTCCTTCAGGGATTACTTTGTAATGACGTCAGAATGTGCAATTGCATTAAAAAAAATGTTTTAAGTGTACCAAGTGAAAGTTTTGTGATTTTTGGGTTCCTTGCGTAAAGGGCTTCCATTTTGAGGTAAAAACTGAATACATTTTATTATTATTTATTATGTTTTCGGCTTACTCACGTAGGTAATAATTTGACGAGATACTCGACTAGTTTCAAGCCATGCTAGAGGCCCATATTCATGAGCAGCATTCCGCGACGTCAAATTATTACGTGAGTAAGCCGAAAACATAATAAATAATTTAGAATGTCTCACGAAAGTTATAATAAAAACATTTTATTATTACCGCTTTTGTACCAGCTAATGGCGAATAACCGCTAAGATTACACATTTTCGCGGCAAACGAGTATTACCTGATGGTAAGCAATCAGCATCGCCCATGGACAATTGGGTACTTTTATAGGTCAAGTCAAGTCAAGTCAAAATAATTTATTTCAATTAGACCCATACAGGCACTTTTGAACGTCAACACAACTTTAAAGATACAAAGTGTCAGTCTGTCGGTCAGTCCTCTTAGTGAAGCTATTCGCTCGTTCCAAAGTGTAGATTCCGATGGAGAAGAACGAGCAAGAAACTCCATGGTTACTCTTTTAAAATCAGTGTCACATAAACATTCTTTGATACATTATTTAGTTAGTTTGAATATGTGAGAACAGTGTAACGCGTGTATACAGAGAAACATAAAAAGAAAATAACCTTAAGGACAATAAATAGACAGTCCGGAGCTGACCAGTCTCAATTGACGGCGCCCGTTCACGAGCATGACACGTACACCAGCATCGCCGAACTCAACCATAATATAGGGAATAATTTGAATGTAGCGTGATGTTTAATACCCTGTAGCACTCAGGAACATTGTGGCTATCTATCAGTGAAAGAATTTTGGCAATCCGACCAGCGGTTCCAAAGATTACCCCCTACATACAAACTTACAAATTTTACCTCTTTATAATATTAGCTAATATAACTATTATTTACCACATGCTAGCGGCCGTTTCCGAGGCCCATTAATTGAGTTTGCCAGTCACCCCCTGCCTGTTTATCCGTATGTATCAATATTGGTCAGGGGCAGGGGCCATAGTATTTCCATAGTTTTCATCCACTAGTGCATAGCAACCCATACCCATAACCCTTTCAATTATTACCACATTTCGCAATAGTCCTTCATCAACCGGGGATTGTCCTTGGGTGCACTTTTATAGTGCTTACAGGGATAATTGCCGGCTGATGTCCCATTTCACTTATATTAAAGTTGTTCAAAGAGCCTCTGCGAGTTTGCTTTAGCCCCTTGTACGCCTTCCAAAGGTGGGATGTAAAAAAATATTTTATTTTTTGTAAGGATTGGGACATTTAGGGACTCAGAATGTGGGAAAGTCCTAAGCCCTAAGCCTAACGAAAATCTAAGGAAAGTCCTAAGCCTGCGAGATCTGAAACTTTCTCGTCTTATTATTCAACATCTGACTGTTGAGTAAAGACCTTTCCTGTCTTTGAAAGCAGCCCATTCATTTAAATTTATTTATGTACTAGAATACTAACTGCTTTTTTGTGTTAAGAGTGCATAAGATCTGGCGAACGCTGCCCAAGGACAGCCACAACAACGGAGGAGTTAGGAGTGGGTTGCCATCCTTTTGGGGATTAGGGATTTGGGCATTTTTGGATTGGAGAGGGGAATAATTGGGCCTCCGTTACCTTCACACAGCGAAACACAACGCTGTGGTTGTTCTGTGAGGCCGTGGTATCACTCCGGTCGATCCGACCCCTTCGTGCCGAAGCTTGGCTCTCCTACACAAATAATTAAGGATAAGCAGTAGAGCTTACCTTCGCATTCCTGGAGTACTCGAGATACCAAAACTTGACGTGCCTGAAGCCTACAGTCACGAAGTAGTTGCCGTTCTCGGAGAAACTGACTGCTTTCACACGAGACGATACCTGGAAACGTTATAAAGGGATGAATTAATTTACATTTCAGATGGAGAAAGACTATTTTTTTAATATTTTCCCACATTAGTAAGTTTTCTCCTGTGTCGTGATTTTTGTATTCAGGGGAAAATCATCAAATGACTTCTCCCGCCCAGGGTAAAGCGAGAGGGAGTGTCAGACTCTTACTGACTAAAAATCCCCCTGTTCCTTCTCCTGCTCTGGGCCGAGGTCGCGGTGCTTCATTGCGCTTACCCCGCAACCCCGGCTGAACATCAGGGTTGATATGACCACGTGGTTCAGTCCCGCACGGAAAACTCTTTGTGTGATCCACAAATTCCAAGTTCCGGATCGGATTGTGATGTGTATGTGAAATTGTATGTTTATAAACGCACCCACGACACAGAAGAAAATGCTACACCCGATCTCCGAAAGGCCGATCAATTTTAAAATCAATTTAATCTCTTGTCAAGTCATCTGATTGGTTGACTGAATTATCAACAACCAATCAGATGACTTGGCAAGAGATTTAACAGGAGATTAGTTAATTTTAGCGTTGACAAGCCTTTCAAAAACCGGGTGTTAGTGTAGGGCAATGTTTTCCTTAAAAAGCAAAAAGAAAATTAAGTAAATTAAAACACACCTTATTACTGGCTAACTTCAGATTGGCACGCCAGTCCCACACATTGACAATCATGTCATGCTGAGACCCTATCGACACTAAATACTTCGAAGATGTCGAGAATGCCTGTAATAGAAACAATTAATAAATAAGATTACGTGTATTATTGATGTTTTTTTTATGAGAAAGTATGTAAATGGGGCTCCGGATTACCTGATGTTAAGCAACCGTCGTAAATGGACACCCACAGCACTAAAGGAGTTACTAGTGCGTTGCCAGCCTTTTGAGGATTAAAGTATCGGATATTCAAGGATTTTGGAGGTATCGGTGGGAAGGATTGGACCTCGGGTAACCTCACTCACACCGCGCAACAACGCTGTGGTTGTTTCACGCCGGTTTTTTGTAAGCCCGTTGTATCAGTCTGTTTGACCAAACCACATTTGTGGCAAAGCCTGGTACAGTAAATAAGTTTTTTTTTATTTAATAGATTTTTTTACATTAACTTGCATATTGTCTAATGTGTAATATGTATAATACGGCAGAATACCGAAAGTATTTATTTAAGTGTAATTGTGATAGTCACACTGGTATTATAATTATTATTTTCAACAAGTAAATGTATAATTAAATTATTATAATTAAAAATACTCACAACACAACTAACGCCATGCGTGTGCCCAATAAACTCTGCTATCTGTACCGCTCCAGATGCTGTGGGATCCTGAAAATATAATACAGAACCATACGTTAATAAACCATTTAAAAAAAACCTAAATAAATAGTTTTATAAATACAAGAAAGTTTCATGCTATTCGCCGATAGATGGCGTTAAGAGCATTATTTGCTAAGCAACGGCAGACTGATAACACAGCTTTCAACTACTCGTCACTAGATGGCGCTAGCGGTTACGTAAACATTCGTATAAAATAGAAGGCTATAGTGAATAGGCTAAACTAGTCCGCCTTACCATCAACGATTGCATCACTGCTTACCATCAGGTGGGATCCCAGTCAAGCACTAGTTTATTGGAAGTAAAAAAAAATAACACAGGTAATTTTTAAAAGAAGATACATTTTATGTAGCTGTCAAGCTAGAAAACCCTTTAAGGGTTGATTTTTCAATAGTCAGATAAATGTTACTAACTGAGAAATAAAATTGTTGCTGTCACTGTCTTATACAAACATTCTGACGCGACAGCATCATAATTATTCCCCGGGTAACTTTTATCTAACCATTGAAAAATCAGCTCTAGGTTATACAAATTACAACTGAGACTCATGTATCTGTTACATCTGTCTAATATTGTTTGTAAATTTGTAAATATTATAAACAGTGCAAGAGAGAAACAATTAAACAAAACAACATAAATAGAATACAATTTATGTCACAAGTAAGAAACCAGTCAAGAAAACTCACTGACTGGACGGATGGACGCCGTCCAGTCAGTGAGTTTTGCATTAGAATTAAACTTATAATAAATTCGTTATTCATCCCGGGATTCTAAAAACATTAGAGTTTAAAGCGATAGCTCGACTAAAATACGCAAAGTATAATTTATAGCACTCAGGAATATTGTAGGTTGTCAGTGAAACTATTTTGGAAATCCGACCAGCTGTTCATTCTTTCAATTTTACATAGCTACAATCTTCCTGTGTGCTACAAGCTATAAAACATCACGCTACGATTAAATGAAGGCGAGCAGCGGATGAAACCGTGCGAGAGTAGCTAGTCCACAACAAAGCGACGACGTTTTGACGTTTTTTCGATTTTAGTTCTAGATTGACTTGAAAAGAGACTGACCTCTGAGTTTGTTTCGGCATTTTTTCTCAGAGTAGTCAGATAGGAAATGCCGGCTTCGTCTAGTTTTTCACATGTGTTTTTTATTTTTATTTTTTATTTTATGTAATAAGTTGGCAAACGAGCAGACGGATTACCTGATGGTAAGCAATCAACGCCGCCCATGGACACCCGCAACGGAGGAGTTACGAGTGCGTTGCCGACCTTTTAGGGATTAGGGATTTGGAGATTTAGGGATTGGGGAAGGGTCCGGGAAGGGGAAGGATTGGGCCTCCGGTAACCTCACTCACACGGCGAAACACAACGCTGATGTGTATAATTTGACGTGTAAAAGTGCCGTTTTATGGCCTATTTGCAAAAACAAATTCATTGTTTCATTGATACTATAAATACCAAGTTATCAATACTGATACCAACCTGTAGATCCCACACCCTGACGGCGGGAGCATGGCCGCACTCCCCAGTGGCGAGGTACCGTCCGTCGGGGGAGAACGCGACGCAGGTGACGCTCTTGCGGCAAGCGTTCAACACGTGCGTCTGCCTGTTCTTCCGAACATTGTACAGGACCACTGTACATCTGGAAATTAGAGAAATATAGAATTACTAGCTTTTGCCCGCGACTTTGTTCACGTGGAAAAGTTACTTCCTGCAGATTTTTGGAATAAAAACTATCCTATGTCCTTTCTCGAGTTCCAAACTATGTCTGTACCAAATTTCACAGAAATCGGCTCAGTAGTTTAGGCGTGAAGAAAAGACAGACAGACAGACAGACAGACAGAGTTAGGTACTTTCGCATTTATAATATTAGTTAGGATATTCATGAGCATAAATTAATTAGACTGCACGGTTGGTGCGGTGGCTGGGCAACTGGCTGCCGTGAATTTCCCGCACGGAACAACTCTTTGTGTGATCCACAAATTGTTGTTCCGGGTCTGGGTGTGATGTGCATGTGAAAATGTATGTTTGTAACAGCACCCACGACACAGGAGAAAATCCTATTGTGAGGCAACGTTTTATCAAAAAATTAAGAAAAATTGCGAGTCAAGTGAAATAATGTACTGTGGCCTCGGCCAAAGCAGAAGAAAGAACAGGTTGGCTTTTAGTCACGATTTCCCCTGACAAAATAGAAAGTAAAAACCAGGAACACGAGAGGAGCTACAAAATTGTCGGTCAATAAAGAAAAAGTACTTCTTTGTCTTCTTCTACTTTATCATTAATCTAGTTAATTTGTAACGTTATTACAGTTAAGCTTAACTACAATTATAGGAGCATTAACTAAAGTTTATGAAGAATGAGAAAAGTTTTTTAATCAAAGTATATTACGCTTATGGATTGAGGAAGTTTTTGTAAGAAGTACGGACCCTTGAGAAGCGTGATATAAATAAATAAAGAAGGTTAATTACACACAGATAAACTTTATTCTTCTTATTTATTTCGTTGCGGGATCCAAGACAGTTGTTCGTGTTACTGGGACGCGACAGACATTAGTGTTTCAGTGTTTTCATGGTTGTACATATATACTGTGGGTGTATGGCAATCAAAAAAGAAGGTGTTGTAATTGGAATAGGCAGACTGAAGCTGAAAATTGTTTGAAGAATTGTGGAGTTTTGTTCAGTCGCCGCTTCAATAATCCGAAACTCAATGATTTTACATTCGACTATGAGCATAGTACTCTTAATTGGAGCGTTTTTCCATATTACCATCAAACACCTGTGTTATGTATGGGATTAGCAGTAAACGAGCTGACGCGAGACTTGATGGTAAGGAGACACGTCGCTATGGACGCCAGCAGCACCGAAGAGTTACAAGGTTACAACGCAATAGTGGATTTGGAGATCAAGAATCAGGCGGAAAGAGAAAGAATCGGCTTCCGGTAAACTCACTCATGGCAAAACAATGCAAGCGTTGTGTCATTCCGTTGTCCTATGAGGCCATAGTATCACTCTGGTCTAACCGGCCCATTCGTGCCGAAGCATGGCTCTCCCACATTTATTACCTTTAGACCTTTCTTTACAGAAACGATGACTAAGCCCTATATACTTAGAACACTAGTCTATTACACAAACAAGTGCACGATATTTGTCTGCCCTCTTGTATTAGCATAGGATTAGAAGTTAAAAACATTTCATTCATTGGTCTACCATAGTCGGACGGACAGACGACGAGGGTCGAATCGCATTAGATGGGGCGAGGTGGTTTTGAGAGCGGGGATAGAAGGATTGTGGAAAAACGCTATGTCATGGGAAAAAGGTGAAAATAATAAATATGTGTGTCAAAGTCAAAGTCAAAATCATTTATTCCAACTAAACCATAAATAGGTACTTTTGAAACGTCAAAATAGATAAGTAGTCTGTCAGTCTGTTCGTCAGTGAAGCTAGGTGCGGTAGTGTGTTTTTTATTATACTAGGCCTTTATGAGTTTTTGAAGTACGGTACAAGTAAAATAGACGAACTTACTTGTTTTTATTAATTATTTGTTGTTTTTAATGCAATGAATTATTAAAATGTTATCATACTTTCATTCATTGTATTAACGATTGACTTTATAATAAAAAAAGTATTTTTTTTTTGTAAAATTTACGCTAATTCAATTGCATTATGGATTACTCCATGTGAAATCATATATTGCGATATTATTACTAAAAACAAAGTATCGATTTCAACAATACAATATAAGTCTTTTAAATATAGATACTACCGTATTGCAGCTTCCATGTTGAATCAACAACTAAAAAAATAACTACAAAACCAGAACCTCGTTGTTCCCTACATGTGTGGTTTGTAAAACCACAAAGTATATTTTAATCTGCCAAAAAATAAACCATCTTTATTCTAAACTACATAGATTAAAATTCGAAGATTTTCACAAAGATAAAAAGCTGCAGCGCGACAGTCGCCGCGTCGCGTGTCGCGGAATGCTGCTCATGAATACGGGCGCCTAGCATAGCTTGAAACTAGTCGAGTATCTCGTCACACAATTGTGTCAGTAAGCCAAAAACATAATAATTAAAGATGAAAAGCCCTATTTTCCCTATCACCCTATGTTCTGGTCAACGAATCCAAACTAAACACTACACGAGCTGATGTTTGTGTACATGTGTACATTGGACGAATAAACTTAGGAAGTGGATCGCTAACAGTGTGACCTAGCCTAACCAGCGCGGGCTTGTGTTTGTTATTCAGTTAACAGCGACGCGTTAGAGGAAGAGATGTGCACTACAGTGATAGACTGTAGCGATTCCAATCTGGCATAGGTAGAATAATTTTACACAAATATTCCTGACGCGGATGTCCAAGTTTCTCGGTGTCAGTCATTTGTTCTTAAGCAAACGCTTATCACTAAGATATAAGTGTCGTAGAGCCTTGCTTCGGCACGAATTTGTCGGCTCGACCGGAGTGATACCACGCCATCACAGAAAACCGGCGTGAAACAATCACAGCGTTGTTTTGCCGTATGAGTGAGGTTACCGGAGAATCATTCCATGACTTCTCACACCCTGGGCGGGGGAATCAGAGAGTCAGTCTTTTACGACTAGACTAATATCATGATATCAAGCTATCAGATACCAGTGAATCATATTGCTTGTCCACCTAGGCAATAAAATCCATTTACCATAACGACAAAACACTACCCCTGACAACAAATAGGGGAGAATGCATGTCTAAGTTAATCAATTAAAGGTAAAAACACTATTAATGCAGCGGTTCTCAAACTTAAGACTTAAAATGACGAAACCTTTTAAAATTCGAACGAATTTTCGGAACCCAAAAATAAAAGAAAAGCATACGTGCATTTATTAATTAATCTTATCTTATATATAAAAATGGATCGCAAAGTGTGTTGGTAAGCGCATAACTCAAAAACGCCTGGACCAATTTTGCTAATTCTTTTTTTGTTGTGTTTGTTACTGTCAGGAGAAGGTTATTATATAAAAAAAAAAGAAAATTTAGAAAAGTGGAGGGGAAGATTAAGAAAAAGTGACCCTTTGATAGCGAAATAGTTGGACCCGTGCGAAGCGCGGGCGGGCCGCTAGTTATATAATATTTAACAAAAGTAAATATCTAAGGGGATGTATGAAACTCTGTTATTCTGTTCATCAATTGGTTTAATAGAAAAGAGAGTATTCTTGAGGAGACCCTACAATGGCTTCGTGGAGCCCGAGGGCTCTGTGAAACACACTTTGAGTATCACTGCAATGACATATGGGGATGAACCCCTGCGTTTAAAAATAGTTTGTATCATGTCTCAATTCAAAAAAGCTAGGGGAGTGACCGCTCCCTGAAAACCATACCTTATTGTAAGTTATGGCATTATTTAAAAATAATTACATATTCGTTTATCCATTACAGGTACTCAGATAATATATTCTTGAGCAAACGTTATTATGGCAAAGCTGGAATAGTTTCGAGCTGAGACCGGAGCTCTTAATTATGAGCGGCGATATACAGCATCTCCGCGCATAATTAAGTGGCAAAATAATCGCAAACATTGTCATCATATACACAAGCAATATCTTCCAAAACCGATTTTACGCTTTGTTAGACTTAATTCATAATGAATTACTAATATTATTATTTTTGTGTGAAGAAAATCATCAAAAATGCCTTCTCTTACCCAGGGTGAGGCGAGAGGGAGTGTCAGACTCTTAATGACTAAACTCATGTCACTGAGACTCAGACTCTTACTGACTAAAAAAAAACCCTCCGTTCCTCCTCCTACTTTAGGCCGAGGCCGCGGTACTTGATTGAATACTGTTATTATAGAAGGCATATTAGAGACAGCGTTTTCAAAATCGCTCTTTGTACCACAATGCCAGAGTTACGTTAGACACTAGTTAGTTATTGGTATGATTGGTGCGCACGCGCAGTGTAGACTCGGGCTTTCTCACGGCTAGTGCGCCTGCGCATACCGTCCTGTACTAATCCATCATCTTCACACATACTGACATTACCATCTTCGATGTATTGAACGTCATTGCAATAGAAGACTTATAATCAACAACATCATCATCATGAATCTGTATCATTTGAATTGACTGCACGGTCGGTGTGATGGCTGGGCAACTGGCTGCCGCGCAACGTATCGCGGGTTCGATTCCCACACGGAACAACTCTTTGTGTGATCCACAAATTGTTGCCCCGGGTCTGGGTGTGACGTGTATGTGGTATTGTATGTAAACGCACCCACGACACAGGAGAAAATCCTAGTGTGGGGCAACTGTTTATTATAAAAAAAAAATCTAATCCAGGTCGACGTACAGACAGAAATTATTATTTGTAAAGTAGTTTGGCTTTCAAGTACATACATCTGAGAAAAAAATCGCACGACAATATTTTACAGATCATCTTTGTTACAATTTTTTTATGGGATAAGTCGCCAAGCGAGCTTACCTGGTGGTAAGCAATCGGCGCCGCCCATGGACGCCCGCAACAACAGAGGAGCTACGAGTGCGTTGCCGATCTTTTTTGGATTATGTAATTGTAGATTTAGGGATTGGGTGAGGGGAAGGGATTGGGCCATGTATCATTTGAATTGTAATTACGGGTCCACATACAGACAGAAAGTATTACGCTTGGC